ATGAATTTCGATTCAAAAAGGACGGCGTAATTAGGAATTTGAATCTGGAACATAAACCTGCAAATCCAAAAGTAAAATCAATCATTTAAGACAAAGGAAAAATTTGAGAAATAGAGAATTTGATGATTATAAAAACGGCGATTAACAAAATAAGCCAGATTCGAGAAATACAAAAACAAATTGTAAATTGCAAAGACAAAGATATATGTGATTGATGATAACCCTCAAATTAGAACATGAAACGACAGGTTCAATTTTTTTTTGCCTGATAGAAAAAGGAAGAGATGTGGAGGCTTTTTGTAGAAAATCATGTTGTTGCTCTTATTGTTGAAGAAGAGAGGCGAAGTGGAGCATTTTGAGATCATGGGAACCAAGCAGTTGAAGAAACGATTGATTCATCTTTTTTCCTAATTTTTTTTTTTTGCTTCTCAAATAATTAGGTTTACCGTTTACGTTTGGAATAGTGAAAGACTAAAATTTGAGACTTAAGACACGTGTCAGAAAGAGAGTGTTGCAGTTTTTTGTGAATTGACTTGTGATTTATTATATAAGGATGAATCAAAGTACCCTATATAGAAGACAATAAAACTCGTGTTAATAAGCATATTTGTTAATGATAATTTTAAGACTATAAAAAGTTTATGATCTAGTGAAAATTGATTGGATACTTACATCTGTATGCAGCGGTGATGCCAAGATTTGCAACCATTATTTCAAAGGAGTAGCAATTGCAAAGTGATCGTATGAAAGGTTAGTGTGTATCTTAAATGGCATTAGACATTAGGTATTTATATGAAAAGAGGTCGGTTATATTATTTTAGGGTTTTAAGAATCATATCAACATCCGTATATTTGCGAATATGGATTTTAAAGGTATATGCTCGATTTGTTTGTATATCAAAATCTAGTTATTGTTATATTTGGTAAATAGAATAACTTTTATCGTGTTTAAAGAGATTTATCTCTATTTAGTTAGCGAAATTCTTTGGATTTTTTTGTTAAAGAAATCTGTTTAAATGATAACTAACAAATTTTGTTATAGCATTAATTTCAGAAGATTGCATAAAACCTTCGAGAAGCTCAGGCTGAATCAAAATCAGCGAAGCCCAATTGTTCTTACATTTGAGGGGAAACGGCAAGTAAACACAATGGACCAGGATCCACAAAGCCCAATAAGAATAGATCCGTTAAGGCCATCGGATCCTCTTACTCTATGCTTACCAAGGTCCGCGTGTTTTTTTGAATTGTATTGGTGAAGGTCCGACCCAAATACCCAAGATCCGCGTCTTTTTACATGCAAATTATCCTGTTTACCCTTTAACGATTTTTTATGTGTTCTCTTATAATGTAATCTATATATAATAGCAATCTAATAAATACCATTTGCACATCTGAACGGTTGCGTCTTTTTATCGCAACCTTTCGTTTAAATCGGTTATTTTTTACGGTTATTTTGGTTGCGTCTTTTTATCGTAATTTTCGTTTTAATCGGTTATTTTTTACGGTTATGTCGTTTCCAATAAATATCATTTGTACATCTGAACGGTTGTGTCTTTTTATTGCAACCTTTCGTTTAAATATTTATGGTTGTTTTTCTTACAGTTATTTTTGTACGGTCATGTTGTTTTATTGAATTTCTTTTTACGTAAACCAATAAACTACATATAAAATTGGTTTATTTCATAGTTTACATATGGATATATTTTTAATTTTTAAACTAAAATTTATATTTTACGGGTATGTGTTTTAGAAAATTGCAATCCGAATATCTTCTGCGGTAGCTTCTTTTTATTGTACCTCTTCATAAACAGTTGCAACCTTTTATTCGAATTATTGCAATATTTAGTTTATTTCACGAACAATTGCAACCTTTAGTTTATATCACAAACAATTGTAACCTTTGATTTATATATGTAGTTTATTTCACGAACGATTGCAACCTTTGATTTATATATTTTGTTTTGTATTTCACGAACAATTGCAACCTTTGGTTTATTTTACAAATTGCTATAACATCTAATTATCCACCGTCGCGTCTCTCGGTATAATTTTCATAAATTAATATTTTTAATTTTTAATTACCAAAATGCATTTAAATGAGATTGTAATCGTTTAATTGAACCGTTGAAACATTTGGTTTATTTGACCAATCATTGCAATATTTGGTTTTGTTTTACAAACCATTGTAATCTTTAGTTTATTTGACGAATTTGACGAACCGCTACAACTTTTGATATATCGCAACATTTCATTTATTTCTTTTAAAACTAAAAAAAATATTTTACGTTATGTTTTTTGAGAAAGTTACAATCCGAGTAAATATTTTTTACGGTTGCATCTTTTTATCGTAATTTTTCATAAAATGATTGCAGCCGTTTAGTTGAACCATTGCAACATTTAGTTTATTTCACGAAAAATTGCAACTTTAAGTTTATTTTATAAATCGTTATACCATTTAATCATCTACCATCGTTATTATTAATTTTCGTTTGATATTTTTTTTAACGATTTTGAAATATTTTCCCCCGCGACATCGCGGGGGTCCGGAGTCCTAGTTATTCTAATGGCAATCTTTGTAATTTTTTACACTTTATAAGGTTATTTATTATCCAATGCTTCCCAATTAATAGTATAGATTCAATTCAGAAATCATATAATTTGTTGATAAGAAGACAAAAACCAAACGAATATTGTAAGTTTGTTGAGTTTGTAGGGGAAACAAAAACAGAAGAAGAAACAGTAGAGGCTATATTGTGTAAAATGCCAACATGTGGGCTCTAATAGAAGAAAAAAATTAAACGGGCCTTTTAGATCTATACTTAGATGGACGTTACAAAAATGAGTTCTAGTATATTATTAGAGATTGATGGTGAAAGGCACTTTGGTAGGTGGCAACCATGAAGCAGCGTCGATGAATTTGGGTAACGTAAACTGTCGAGCTTCATTGATATCAGATATCACGTGAAACCCGGCCCAATCAACCCGGTTCTCTGTACCCGAACCCGGTCCTGAGTTTTGATACTCCCCGTAGTACAACGTGCTTAGCGCCGTTACATTACCCCAATCGATCCATCCTTTGGGTTCGATCAACGTATCAAGATGCGTCCCCATCACCACCGTCCGTGCGTACGACCTCCATGGACGCCCCAGATACGTTTTCACGCCTCCTAACTGTACCCCCGGAGCTCCTTTCACCACGGAGTTATGGATTACGATTCCTGTTGTCTGATTCGGGTTGAACCGGCTCTGTGCCGTTATGGTGTTGACTCCATTCGGTGGGTTACGTGCAAATATCTGACAGTTCTGCAAAAAAGCAGCGGCGTTTCCGAAAATGAAGTCGACAGTGCCGTATATGTCGCACTCCCTGAAAAACTGACGACCGGAGTGGACGTAGAGTGTGTCTTGATAGCCTTCAATGCTACATCTGTAAAACACTGACATGTCTGAATCCGATCTGAGAGCCACCGCCTGATGGTTTTCCGGTCCTGCCGTGTTCCTAATCGTTATGTCTCGCCCCACGAAACCATCCCCTTCAGCCACTGTCAGTTTATGCAAACATGTTATGCAGCTTGATGTTATATGGCCATGAAACGAATATTTGTAGTGTAAGTTGTTAAGAAGAAATGTCTAACCAAAAGTGGCGGATTTGAAAGTGGAAAATCCTCGGCCCTTGCTTTTGTCACCAGTGATTATGGTTTTGCCCATACCATCGCCAATGATCATGATGTTATTAGACTTGATTCCTATATTGACATATTCCTCGTAAATGCCTTGCTTGACATGTATGACATACCTAAGGCTTCCTTTGGGCCTCTCTCCGGCACCTTTCACGGCCTCTTGGATGGTCTTGTAGTCCCCAGAGCCATCTTGAGCCACCACTACATCCACTTTATTACTTCTAGACGGTATTTTCATTGTTACTTTCGATATCTCAAACGCCTTCCCGTTTGGTTCCGTCCTCTGTTTTTTATCAAATAAAAAAAAAATCAATTAACGACGAGTGAATTATTGACATAGGTTTTCACATTCAAAACATGCTTTGATATTAAAGAGGATTTTGAGAATTTTGATTGGTTAGTAATAATTTCATATCTACCTTGTTGATGGCCAAGGTGTTAATGACATCAATGGTTATGCTCTCCAAGGAATGAGACGAGACACCGAGTTCTGACATCTCTTCCTGACATGTGTCTAGGTTGGTGAGTGCGGTGCTGAGCCATGCTTGCATGTCTGATCTTGAGCACACGTTCTTGGGACACAGCACACTCTGGTTGAGCCTGTGGATAGTCTGCTCGTACAGATCCATACAGTCCTCCCAAGCTTGCTTTGAACCAAATTGTGGCCCAAGAGAGTACGTGTCGCTCTTGGCTTTGACAGCTCCATCTAGTGTTCGTTCTACGGACACTTGCAAGAACTGTGTAGTGCTTCTTATGGGTTTGTGTTCAATCAGCAGAGTCTTGCATTCACTCGGGTGCGGCGTTTCATCACACATTTCATTTCCAAGAACCATTGAGGCAACATCAGTTATCAGAATTATCAAGAAACATTTTACAATTACTCCACCCCTCATCGTTTGATGTTTCACTGAGGTAACATATGATATGCATGATGGTTTTTATAGATAATTTCCCATAATATTTTAAGTTACAAATTGGATTGGTTTTAACATTTAAATGTGAACTAACGCATGTTGCAGTTCTAACTTCTAACCTTCTGTTAATTAAATTGTCTTTGTAGTTTTTATTCCATCAAGGATCTTTAAAAGTCCCATATTATTGTATAAAGTACATTCATAACTTATGTGTAACTAAATAGTGTAAAACATCAATAAAGAAATCATCAAAAAGGGAACAACACAGACTAATCCGCAAATAATAGGAATAAACCTCAGTACTAGTAAATATAATAACAAGAAGTAAGTCATCAGAGAGAGAGTTACCCTAAAAGTAGAAGAAGCTCAGGTTGTTCTAAAAGAAAGCGTAAAGTAGCATTCAGCCTCGACAATCCGATAAGGGTACGATAACATTCAGCTTCAACAATCCTCCTAACCATTGTACAGACAGTAGAGAGTTAATCTGAAACCTAATCTTCCATCTGGAAACTCAAAGTCAGTCGGCTGGTAAAGATATGTTGATGTCAGTGGCTGAGTCTCTCGGCATGTCCTGTCCGTTGGTCCAGCTGGAAATGCCGAATGAGGATGGCGGCTGCTCTCTCTCTGGGTTTGTCGATGAAAAAACTGAAGCCGGAGGAGGAGGAGGAAGCAATGACGTTACCGTTGAAGGGGTATGCTCGACTCTTTGCTTCCTCGGTTTCTGATGATCTTGTTGATCACTCGTTATAAAACTGCCAACAACAACCTGTTTTTAAGAAGAAAAACAAACTTGATGAGACCAGACAGAATTTCAAGAATTGATGTAAATGTTGTTGGATTCGTGGGTCACCTGAATAGGAGTGGCAGCAATGAGTAGGCCGGCCACACCGCCACCGACAACACGACCATCAGGACCTGCCAAAGATACGCTCATGCCACCAGACCGTCCTCTTGAACCTTGATTCTCTGTTTCCATGAAAGAACCAGACAGCGACAGTATCTCAAACCGACCCTGCCAGAAACCAACACCCTATAATAAGATGCTCTGTTTCACTTTCATTGATAAGTTTATATGGAGTGTGAGATACAAACCTCGTAGGTGAGAGTACCACCGCAAGATTCGGGATGGCGAAGAGTGACGTTTGATATCACTCCATTTGCTGATAAAATACAAATAGCTCGCGGTCCTTGTTGTGAAAAGGAGATGATCCTCATAGTAATATCCTTGAATCAACCCAAAACAAACAAAGTTGTTGCTAAGTAGGAAACAAACACAAAAAATATCCTCTCAAGTATAATCTAAAGACTTTGTTGTTTTTCTTAATACATACCTCACCAGTGTTCACTGTGATTATATGCGGAGTGAAATTTGATCCAACACCACCACCAACGCCAAACCTTTCACCTGCAAGACGATGATTCAAAGTTACAATCTTCAAACAAATATAATAGACACTCGCTCAACAGAGTTAAAGCTCGTATGCTACTTTAAACGAAACAAAATGCAAGTTCTAGAGAAACTTTTAGCAGTTGTGCGTAGATATGCAATGATTTACTCTATACAACAATTAGTAATGAAAGCTAAATAGATATGTGCAATAATTAACTCTATGTTCAAAATTCAAGGAGCATGAAAACTTTGGGCAGTTGGAAGGAATAACAAAATGTGTGTCAAAATGAGCAAAAGAAAACTTGGAAGTAATTTCTAGATTAAAGGAAGAGTTCACTTGTGTATATACAGCTCAATAGTATTTCATTACTTGATGCAAAAGATCAAGTAATGTTAATAATCAAAGAGATAAAAGGAATGCTTAGTTTAGTAGTGAGACTAATGGAAGAGTAGTTTACCAGAAGAGTTAAGGAGTCCAATGGTCTTATGCATCTTGATATCAAAACCATTGAGCTTGCCTCTTGCTCGTTTCTTCAGAAGAGGAGTTGATGAAGAAGGCAAGGGAGTACCATTAGCTTCATATTTACGAGGTCTGCCTCTCCTCTTCTTCCCTGAAGAAGGCATTGGGGCGTCCGTGGGAGGGAGAGACGACCCCATAAACTGGTTAGAAGGACTCTCTAAAGGTCTCGGAGCCATATGATACGCTGATGGAGCTTCTGCTCCTATAACACCAGAGCTAATTCTGTCGCTTGTTTCCATTCTGAAATCCTATGCTTAACTGCAATTACAAGCAAGCCAAAAAGTTAAAAAGAGAGTCCATCAAAAACAATGGCTTCGCAAAAATAGAAACTTGATTTCGAATTTCAAGTATCTCTTGAAAAGCTTCTATTTTTCCAAAGTTAGCTACAGAGTTAGAAGCTAATCTTCAAGTATAAAGATGGAATTTTTTTTGTTCTGTTACACTGAAAATTCGCATAGTTTGAACAACAGGAAAAGAAAAAATGAAGGGTAGACGCAAAATCATAAGTGATGAGAGATCTTAGACAAAAGTGTTTAAAGAAAACAGAGACCTAAGTTTTTCTTGTGTCTCAACTCTCAAGTTGCTCTATCAGCCAACTGTCAACGTTCTCGTCTCAGCCGAGAATTGAGCTCAACAGAAGAACAGATTTCTCCTGGTCAGCTCACGCCGGAGAAGTTTTCAACGGTATTTTCCGGGAAAATCGGAAAATGATCCAAAACAGAGTAGAAAGAAAACAAAAACCAGATCGTAAAAAAATTTACGACTGGGAAAAAAGTAGAGAGAAAAATAGGTTTTCCAAGAGAAATATCCAAAAAATAATTTATCTTTTTGTCGTTAAGACCGACAGTGAATTTTGGTTAATAAATAATTTCACGTCCGGAATTGAAAATAAAAACAAGGGAAATTGTTAATAATGCCTCAAAAATACCCCTTTTTTAAAACCTTATAAAAAATGCTCTTAAAAATATAAGATTTATCCAAATATGTATATAATATTATTAAAACATACACAAACTACATTTCTATGTATCTAAAATCTTATAAATACTTTATAAATACCTTATAAATGCATTTTAAATACCTTTAAAAACCTTTAAAATATCTTGTAAAACCTTTGAAAAACCTTAAAAATCCTTTAAAATAACTTGTAAAACCTTTAAAAACACCTTATAAAACCTTATAAATACTTGGATCGAGTCTTCAAGTAGTAGTTACAATCCATAAGTACTTTATAAACCTAGTAAAACTTTATAAAAATTTCAGATTTAAAAAGGGGCATTTTTGAAAATGGACATCTAAAAGGGGCATTTTTGAAAAAGGGCATGAGAAAAGGGGTATTTTTGCTAATCCCCCTAAAAACAATTGTCCCTTTTGCGTAAGTTTTAGTCCTTTCTTCTTGACATTAAATACCTTAATTATTACTCCCTCCGTTTCATAAAGAGTGTCGTTTTAAGGTTTTATTTTTGTTTCACAAAGAGTGTCGTTTTAGGTTTTCAATGCAAAATTTAATGATTTTTTATGTTTTATAACTATTAGTATTCTGCAGATTGTTTTACTATTGGGCAGATTGTGTTTAAGTATATAGGTAATGATGTTTTTGTTCAGAAAAAACAAAAAATTTAATGTTTTCTTAATCTGTGTGCAAAACTCTAAAACGACACTCTTTGTGAAACAGAGGGAGTATCTCCTCTGCCATTCATAAAAAAAAATTGTACAATTTGAAATTCAAAACAAATTATTTGAAGCGAAATGTTGGGTCACACAATAGTGTAAAACTGTAAATAGTAAGTAGGAAAATGAGTATAGGAATGCAATTGGTAGGTGACAGATAATAAAGTGACAAGCTGTCAGATTAACAAGCCGTTTGTTTGACCTTCTCTGCCTTCTGTCTCCTTTTTGACTCCTCTGACTCTTTTTTTTTTTTAAATACAAAATTAATAATAATCTTATTATTTTCTTATCTTAAAATGTTAAGTAATGTTCTCACAGCTATTTTTTTTAAATTTTTTTGGGGGTAAAAGTTTATACTAGTATTAGTTTTGTTTAAGTTAAGTAATGTTCCAATTATCCCAGTATTTATTTGTTAAGTTAAGTAATGTTCCAATAACCCCAGTATTTAGTTTTGAGTAATATTTATTATATATAAGTAGTCTTATCTTATAGATGAGATTTTGATTGGAATCACGTGTTTTGGGTAGGAACATTTTATCATCAACAAAATCAAATTAAAATTAAATTAGCTGGTTTAAAAGAATAACTCAAATGGGTCAAAGTCCTAAATTGCTCTTACTTGCAGGAAAAAAAAACAGTATTCGAATTAATCATTGTGTGTTAAAATAAGAATTTATCCGTATCTCATTAGGATCACGGCACATGAGAAAGCTTTTTTGATCATCATTACGTGTCAACACACCCTTCCTTGATTTCAAATGACAATTTTCGAGGTCTCGAGACCACCTTCACGATTATACTATTATTAATTACCCCCTGTACTTAATTCCAAGACGACTGATCAACGTTATTTTATTTCTCAATTTTAAGAATTTAAGATATGCTTTATTATTACACGATGTTTAGTTCCCACTTGAAAAGACAAATCACAAATGGGTTGGATGCAAAAAGCAAGAGGTCACCCACCATTTAACATTAGCCAGTTGGGCCTTAAATGTTTGGGCTTAGCTTACCTAAGTTGCACTATGAAGAATTACACATTTTCATAATTCGACCCAAAAAAATAGAGCAAGCAAAGCCTTATAATAAATAAATAAGGGGACATGGGTGTCATGTCGACGTCTAGCGTGAGATGTGAGTTGCAGTGCAAATCCAATAGAATCTATTAACGCCCCTTTTAAGTTACAGAGCAATCCGGTTAGTACAACATAAACAGTTCCTAATAAATGTCTCAAAGGTTAACATGGTTAGATTGGAGAAGATGGACGGCATTTGCCTCCGGTCAAATACTTAGACAAGAACTCACGGGCAAGAGCGTTCAGATCACCGTCCTCATCCACTGGATCTTCCAGGCCAAACAATGTGCTAAAATCCACTAACTCTGTTGAGACCTCAATAGCTTCTTTTGGCTGTTCTTGTTGTTGTTGTTGTGACATACAAGGAATGTGTAACGACGCCGAAGACACAATGCTTTTATTGTCGACGGAAGGAATGAGTGGCGCATTAGATGAAGAGGCTGCTTCTGTCCGTGAATTGTTTTGAGGATTCGGCGGAGGAAGGCCTTGTAAGGTTGAAAGTTGAGTTTGGACGTATGCTAACTCCGCCTGTAGATTCATCACCTGTTCACATGAGGGACGTTTATTTAATAAATTGAAAAGTTCATATAACATTAATTAGTTTTTAAAAAATCTAATTTATTTGTTTTAGAAGAACATTTTCAAACTGTTTTGTTCAACCGATATAATAAAGACAAGCAAGTCGGAAGGTAACCACAAAGATTGACGATTTGACTTTCTTTAAGTCTGTTTCGACAAACGAGTCATTGGGAAGACACACGTTAGCTATTTTCAATTTATTAGCAACTTTGACACTTACTGGAATTTAAAAATACTGTAGTACTACTATGCAAGTTTCAAAACTAACAAACAGGAAACCAAGAGGCGATAAATGGATTTATGGATCTGTAATTAAACTAAAAAGTTACGCGGCTAACAGATGCTAGCTGCGGATATATATATATCTAACCTAACCTAACGTTATGGGATGAGTTTATTATAAAATGAACGTCTATATAATTTATACACGCATGCATGTCCGGTAAATCTTTCATTAATGTATATAGATCATCAAACTCATATACATAAATAAATGACATTGGTTTAATACACTTGAATACCTGATGTTGAAGGGCGAAAATATGACCAACGCAACCGTAGACGGGATCGCGAAGCCTAGCCAATGCCTCGTAAGTAAGTGTGACGACGGCGTCCAGTCTCCGGCTGGCCGGAATCATCATGAGGAGCTTGGAGGCGTTGCTCGCCCCGAAAACTTTGTGAACCGCCGTGAAATGAGACGTCCCTTCCTCCGAATCGAAGTAGGGAGCGAAGACACATTCAGCCACGCATTTCCGCCGGAGAAACTTACATGCGCCGCACGGACCTCCACTGCCGGAGGTGCTTCCGCTCATCTTTTCTGTCAAAGACGTTTTGTTTGGGGTAAGCAGTGTCGTCGTCGACCACGGTTATATATCCAATCCAAAGAGATGTTTAAGAGAGAGAGGAAGAGAGATAGATAGCTAAATAGCTTTGTTTATGAATAAATGTTTTTAAGTACTTAATGTGGAGCATAGAGGATCGTGTCAGGCAAGAAAATCATGTCTTGCTTTTGGTGGTGGGTCATTTATAATCATTACATTTTAGTATATAACTTGATCATCTTTTCTTCTATGTGCATATATTTGTTTTTGTTTTCCTTTGTGTGTTTCATTTTTCTGTACATAGTTGAATCACACACACAATAAACTAGCTATTTTCCATAAATAAGTGAAAGAATTATTTATTTATTCACAATTCACAAGGGGGAAGGGGGGGGGGGGGATAACATAAGATTTTACAAAATACTTGTATACTTGTAAATGTAAAAGTAGACAAATCAAAACTATATATATAAACTAAATTAGCAATCATAAGTTTGAGACAAAGATTTAGTACAGTATATGCCACTAAAAATCTAGAACTGGCTATAACACAAGGCCTAGAAAGTAGGGAATTAGTACGGATTTAGATAGTTAATGAGTTGTGAGCAATGAAGATATATAGACTTATATAGTGGGTTCAGTTGAAAAGGTTCTAATCGGATTATAACGAGGATGTATTGTGGGTTTTATTAATTATTATAGTAATGAGAATGAATGTACTAATTAGTGGGTAAAGCTTGGAAGCAACGGCAAAGCGGATTTGTGATATATACAAAGGACAAACACAAATGCTTTGCGTGAAGCAAAACACAATTAGCTGCTTGCTGACGTATCTCTCTCTCACTCCGCCGCAGGTTTCCCGTTCACACACACGTGCGATCCCTCACCACACGTGTGTAATTCTTTTATTATATGTGAATATGTGATGTGAGTCTCTCCCTATGCACATCTTTCATGCTAGAATGTAGAGAGAGAGAGATGTGTGTATATTGATTGCTTCTTGTTTCTACAAATCGTATAGTCAGACAAAGACATGACACTGATCACTGTTTGCTTCGCCCGCAAGTACAACCTCAGTCAGTCAGTCACTGTCATGTCTCTCTCTCTCCCTCTCTGTTTGACAAGATCCCTGACCCCTTGTAACTTCCCCAATTTAATTAAAGCCTCTCGTTAATGGGCCGGGCCTTGTACATCGTTTCGGATTCTTAATTTGCCAGCGTTTCGGATTCTTAAGAGCAACCACAGTGGCAACCACAGTGGCATATTTTTTGGTGGGGTGTGAGGATTAAAAAATTCGAAAATAAGCAAACAGTGGCTGAGAATGTTGCATTCGGGTGTTACAGAAGACTCGAGTGTTACGGCCACGTGGCGCGTTATGAGTGGAGAATCATTTATCTTCTCTCTATCTCTCTCTTCTCTCTCTTTTTTTTTTTTTTTTGGTGGGACCTCTCTCTCTTTTATTATAACAATATAAATTTATTAACACCTATACCAACACATATGCCACTGTGGGTGCTCTATCTATAGTCAATACTCTATACCTAAAATGTATGTACAATATGACAAAAAAGAAAAAACTTCTCATATTTTTCTTCTACTATTACTATTAAGCCTACTAGCCTAGTGAATGTGTTAAATACAAACAGTGTTTATTAGCGTACGCAAGCGGTGAGGAAAGAAGCAGAAGAGGGCGTGATACGAGGACACGTGTCTCATAGGAAGTACAAACAAGGATTGGACAAGAGGCGGACGGCACGGTGACTCCCTCTGTCAACAACTGTTACCGTTTCTCTTTGTTAATCTCCTAAGTAATGTAATTAATTAATTTAACTGTTCAATAATTACTAGTATAAATTAATCAAGTAATGAAATGGGAGCGTTACTTGATTACCATATGCACTCGCAAACGCGCCATTGGTTGCGTCAGAGCGGTTACGTTCTTCGTAAAAGTCTCATTTGACACGTGGCGATCATACATACGTGCCAACCTTTCCAGTTCTTTCAAATTAAATCCCGGTTTACTTTTAGGTTTTGATTACCGGTTCTTCTGAACCAACTTAGCTTGACTCACTTTGCTTTTTGCTAGTTGCTTTCTACAATTTGGTGACTATTATTGGACCGTCGTAATCGTCACACTTTTTTTTTTCTTTCTAATCGATGATGTGAGATATGTGATTTATACACACGTGTATTTGATCATTCTTGCCGTCACCAAATTTAAACTCATTTATCGTGTATTAATATTTGAGATCCGCACTGACTGGTGACTATGCGCATTGCATCCATCTTGTAATTTCGGAAAGCTCAAATATTTATGATATATATATGCACTAATTGGAGTTTCCTTATTTGCACCCTAATCGAATATTGAGTTACATGATTCCCTGACCAAAATATAGATTGCGTACATCAACTTATTAAACCCGTCAATAATACAAGTTTTTGATGGCCTAGTGGTTTCAATGGGCTTTCTCACACACGACTGCCAGAGGTCGCGAGTTCGACTCTCTGTCGGCGGGGTGGAACTGAAACCTCTCCAAATAAATCCTGTTGTAGATGGCCCACGGGTTTCTATGACGCATTAAAGGATTTTCCTGGATATGGGGCCTTTCGGGGTGGGGTCAGTCACTATAAAAAGTTTACCCGTAACAGTTTTGCCCAAGCATCCGTGGTCTAGTGGCAGAGGAAGCTTTGGGAAAGGGTGAAACTCCCAAACCTGAGTTCGATTCTCCCTGGAAACAAAAACACATTTGTTTGGGAAGTCTGTCAGTTGGGCCTTGGCCCAATTGGTTTACCTGGTAGCCAGAAATGCAGGCGGCCTGACTACCCCCTGGCACTTAGTCGGAAGGCATTCCAAACTCGGGATAGGCAGAGTGGTAGCCCGTAAGGGCCTAACCGTTAACACGGTGGACCAGTCCACTATGTAGCACCTCGGTGCGTTCCTACCGGGGCCGACCGGATAGCCGATAGGGTTTATCAAAAAAAAAAAAAAAAAAAAAAAAAAAAAATACAAGTTTTTGCATATATAATCATTACCGGATCATACAGTATGTAATAAATCCAGTTGTTTTGAAAATTGCATACTCTCTCTTTTTATCATTTACATATATGTAGCATCAGCATCTATATGTACTGTACAAATACATGTGAATTTGTAACATTAGTGGTTTGTATTTTTTTGTTGATAAATTGTAAATTCTATTAACAAAATGAAACATTTTAATTTACAAATACTTTAGGCCAGTGAGCTTCTAAAACCAAAATTTTTTTTTAGTAATTTGTATTGGTATTATCGCCGTGGTATAAACTTAATTCAAATCTGATAATATACATATTCGTGTCTTACACGACAAAAATTAAAGAATCTCACGGAAAAAAATCCGCATAAATTTTTTAGATATGTTGCCAAATGTTGATAAAATACCCGATTAACCAAAAAGAAAATAACGCATAGCGGTGACTGATGAGCCGTTACATTTCTTATATAAAGTTATCGCATTAAAATCATCGCCAAAAATTAATAATTAATTAGAATATGTTTTAAGCTCATTTTATATAATTATTAGTTTGTAAAACTAATTTCTAATAGTTATAGACAGAATATGCATAAATTACAACTGTATACATCATAAGATAGTTGTGTGGACTGCGGAACAAAAAAAAGATAGTTGAGTGGACCGATTGTAACAAAAATAAAATAAAACCAGAAGTAGAAAAAGTGAAGGAAGGGAATAACAATGAAGAAGTTGAAAGATATGGAATGTTTTGCTTCACGCAAAGAGCTTAACACGAGACAAGTACGCTCCATCGCGTTGCTTTGAAGTCCTTTTTTTCTTCTTCTTGTCTTAACAGTCTTTTTTTTTTTGTGGTAATAACAAGACTAATTAAATTATTATTTTCTTATCTACTAAATAAACTATTAATGTATTAGTGGGGGGAAATAAAAATATTTCCAATTACCAACAACCAAACCCTAGTTTTGCTTACGTCCGATCTCCTTCTCTCTTTTCTTCTCTCCCAAACGTTCCCTTTCTTTTTTTTTCTTTAATCACGAACCAAAAAGCATCATAGTCTCGATGAGTTAAATCCATGTATCTCAAAACCCTAATCACCAATTAGCTAGTAAAAGAAAAGGAAAATAAAGGTATTTGTGAGGTAAAAAAAGGAAGATGAGCAGTAGCGGAAACCCTAGCAGCAGCGGTGGAGGAGGCCCTTGCGGCGCGTGCAAGTTCTTGAGAAGGAAGTGTGTCGCTGGCTGCATCTTCGCGCCTTACTTTGACTCCGAGCAAGGAGCGGCGCACTTCGCGGCGGTTCACAAGGTGTTCGGAGCGAGCAACGTCTCCAAACTCCTCCAACATGTTCCCGAGCATAAACGACCAGACGCCGTCGTTTCAATCTGCTTTGAGGCTCAGGCTCGTCTCAGAGACCCTATTTACGGCTGCGTCTCTCACATCGTCTCTCTTCAGCAACAGGTTAATTATTCTTTTCATAACGTTTAATTATATGATTAGTACTACTTATGATGTGAAATCGCAACAGTTTTAAGTTGATCTACTGTCTCTATGTCGCCACGTTGATCAATTCTTTTTATCATTTCTATGTAATTATGTTTTAACTTTTTTGTTAGAAAACATGTTTTTCAAAACTTTATTTTTTTTTTAATGAGATTTTTGCATTTTGACTTAATGTTCAATTAAACTACAAACTTAGTCCTTTTAAATTCACACTCTCTTTATCTCCTCTGATTGTCGTTTCTAGGAAGTAGGATCATATATCCCATCATGCAAATTATCCTTTCTTGCATCAACAATTTTTTTATTCATTCCGAAATGTTCTTCTTCAAGGATATATATATATTTTGTTTTGTTTTTGCTATGATCGAAAACCAACTCTACATTGAAAAAGGAGTTTTAAAAATCTAAAATTTTACAACTGGGTTCATGGCCTTTGCCTTTTGGGTAAAGTTATGTCTCTATATTAAATGACGTGTCTATGAGTCTATATATATGTGATATAGAACAAGCTGATCTTTTGATTTGATTTACACTTTTAGTAATGGTAGTTTGTTAAGAAAGCATGCATAAAGCATAATATAATTGTATGTGTGTATTACACATGATCCAATGCGTTACATAGCATATGAAAACTTCTCTCTTTTTCCTGGTTAAAATGTCTACAGTCGAAGTTGGCTAGGAAAGTTAACGATCATTTAGCATATGTAATAGAAATTTTGTTGAATGTTTTACAAGGTTGTTTTCCAAGTTGAATCCAAGCCATTGATTGAGATGACAAATCTTCCTCTGTTCGCAACAACCACGTTGTTTTACACTTATTCCCAAGCATCCTTTTTTATTTATCTTTTAATTGCAATATACATAGGTACTTTCATGTACACACATACACGAATATATATATTTATTTGTATACAAACGTATGCCATTGCATTCTATAAATTGATGTTAGTGAAGGATATTTCCAATCTTACAAGCAAGCATTTATCTATATGTTATGTACAATGTCTCTTGTGTTATTATTAGATTGTTTTATCCCGCATATATTTTTCTAAATCGGTGGTCTTGATTGATCAATTACTCCTGTCGTGTTTTTTTTGGCATTATTGAATCAACAACATTTGCTCGAATTCGGAAACTCTTCCAATTATTAAAGATTGCTGGAAATATCATTTTTCTAGATTCTTATCTCTCTTTCATATTTGTTGGCATTATTATCAATTTTAACAATTTAATTTCGTTAAAAAAAAAAAAACAGGTGGTAAGTTTGCAAACTGAGCTTTCATATCTACAAGCACACTTAGCAACTCTAGAGCTGCCACAACCTCAACCACCACAGGTTCCGGTGTCGTCTTCTGGATCTCTGCAGGCTCTTTCCATAACGGACCTCCCATCAATATCGCCGTCGGTGTACGACCTCTCCTCCATCTTCGAGCCGGTCATGTCCTCCACGTGGGCCATGCAGCAACAACCACGACCGTCTGATCATCTCTTCGGCGTCCCGTCATCGTCCAATATCGGCGGAGGCGGTGAGTTCCAAGCACTGGCGCGTGAGTTTATTCACGGTGGGCAAATGCCAGCTCAGCCATCCCCGGGAACCAGTGGTTCTGCCTCAACAGTGATAAAACGAGAATGAAGTTATTTTTATAAAATGTTTGTTTATTTGGACCGTAAGAGCTCTATAGTTAGCGATATGTTTCTCCTTGTAATCTATATACTTGGGTCGAATTTGTATTTAAATTGCTAGAATGTTAATATAAGAACTATATGATTTACATTGATTAAATGTATCTTTATTTTCTTTTTATATACTTTTCGAATTAGCAATATGCCAATATATAGCTTTTCTCCAGTGTAATGACTACAAACATATTTACAGAAAAACGAAGAAATAATAAAAAAATTGGGAAATAGAACACCCAGAGATCACATTTTTCTGGTTTAAAAAGTTCGTTTTGGATTTTCACGTACGTTTTCAAATGACCCACTCTAACGTTTTTTACTATGGAAAATTTATGTATTTCCATCCATTGATTTGGTCTCTTTTTTTTTTTTTTTTTTTTTTCGTCTCATTGATTTGGTCTCTTGGACCATCAAATATGTTGTTTTAATCATCCTTGGGTACACCGGTTCAAGAGGTTTCCACAACATGGATGGGATCTTGAGCGTGAAGGAGGATCGATTCTGGCGGGAGACGCGAACCAACGAGTCTCCTCCTTTCTCCTTTTCCCTATTAACTATAATGGGCCGTAAATGGGTTCAACAAGGGTGTTCTGTATATCAAACAGCCCAAACTATTATTTAAACCCGACCCAATTCCGTGAGCACTTTGAGACTCTCTAGTTTGCTTTGTAGTCTACCACTATTTTTTACTCAGGCTTACAACATCTTCCAAGCATGCATTTAACATTGCATTTCCCGTTTCTATGTTAACTAAGAAAGCCTTACGCGGACCTTGAACCGTGTTCTTAGCAATGTCTAAAGTACATAAACCAAGGAATAAAATCCCTATGGATCGAACCATAATCACCAATCAAAACCCCATCGACTGCATAGCCGATAAGTACTACCGAAGTGGCGAGGAGGAGAGTGCCAACGGCTGTGAAGGGTCGATGTAAATCAAACATTGACGTGCACCGGTAAGTCACCGTAGAACCAGACTATTGGCTGAACAATCAGTTCTGATAAAGGCTGACAAAGTCAAAGCATGGCAGATTGTTTGTAAAATATTTGGAGTAGTTGAAGGTACGGTGTGAAGAGCGTCTCTTGGATTGCCGTAATGAAGTTTAGCCCTACAGCTATAGAGGCAACATATGCTATTTTCATATTCATAACTTTAGAGGTGTTAATAAGAGACGAATATTAAATATTTTTAAAAACATCAAATTAATTAAAAAGATTCATTGCTAAATTATTTTTGACTATAAATATTATAATTATTAAATACAAAACAAAAAAATATATTTAAAAAAAGATCAAATAAAATAAGTAAAATATGCGCAAAACATAAGCAAAATCTCTAATTAATATAGTATAATTTTCTTATAATGATTTTACACATGAATTTTTTTCTAATTAATATATACGACACGTGTCGCGATCATGTGAATTAGCAATTTCGAAAACCAAATTTTATGTAATAAAATTTTAATAATAACATATTGTTTGATTACAAAAATGTCATTGTTGAAACTAAGTGCATGAATAAAGAGTTGAGCTAAGCAATATATAATTGTTGATGATATAATAATATAAATTCGAATTATATTTATATGTGTGTATTAATTAGTGTAACATTTAAGAGAGAACCATTGGAGTAGAGCCTTACAAGACAATATATGATCACCATTGGAAAACTTTAAAGCTATTACTAAAGAGTTTCTATGGTAAAAACTCAATTGCTTGAATTCGAATTCAAGTAATCAAAAATTCCCTTCTTTTCTAAAAAACTTATTATTAGCTCAAATCTCAAGTTCCTATTACTCTATACATACATACATGTGTATTAATCTATGTTATCACCAAAGTAGAAAGAATTAGATATAGCAAGTGACCACTATTTTCCTTCTAAGACACCATACGAACTAATTTTTATTAAAAAGAAATTAAAAACTCTATTACAATTCCGCATGTGTGCTCTATATCGTATTTTAAAAAGAAATTAAACAGTTAAATCTGTTTTCACATTTCTCCATTTATCATAAGTAATATCTTCAACGAATCAAACCCATAAGGTACTCTTACTCTCTATTAATAGAGGAGAATGTGTCATCTTCTCATAACTCAATAACCAAACTTTATCATATACACAAAATCACAATGGGAAGGTCAAAATGTTCTTGTCATCATCATCTACTTGTTCTTTTTATTGTTCATCTTGTTGTTTTTTCGATATCACCAGATCAATATGCTTCAGCCGAAGATGAACATGCAAAGGTAATAATTATATACAATTTTGTTTCTTTCCAGCTTCTTTGTCATTAGATTGAGCAAAACTTAATGTTGCAAGGAGAATATTTACTTTGAAATTCTTAATTATAAAGGATTTCTATATCATATATTTGGGAGATCGACCGGATAATACAGAAGAAACTATCAAGACACACATAAATCTGCTATCGTCTTTGAATATCAGGTACATGTCATGCATCAATACATGTATAACACATATTCTAAAACAAATAAATGCGTAACATATTTTGGAGTAATGTTCTACTTGGTTGTCTGCTAATCAAATTTATAAACGTCTCTTGAAAAAACAGCCAAGATGAAGCAAACGAAAGGAAAGTATATAGTTACACTAAAGCCTTCAACGCTTTTGCTGCCAAGCTTTCTCCACATGAAGCTAAGAAGATGATGGGTAACATTTGTTTTTGATGTCACAAAAAAACTTCCATGCAATACTAGCTATAGTGAGATTCATATAATAAGCTATTGAATATCTAGTAATAATTAAGTAAAAAAAAATGGTGCAGAGATGGAAGAAGTTGTTGGTGTATCCCGAAATCAATATCGCAAACTTCACACAACAAAATCTTGGGATTTCGTTGGACTTCCTCTGACAGCAAAAAGACATCTAAAAGCAGAGAGAGATGTTATTATTGGTGTTCTTGATACAGGTTTATTGTTATATATGCAAATTGATTTGATTATTCATTTTTTATGCTTCTTATAATTTATCTGAACCTTCCTATAATACAACAACCAGGAATAACGGCGGACTCAGAGAGTTTCCAGGACCATGGTCTAGGCCCTCCTCCGGCTAAATGGAAAGGATCTTGTGGACCTTATAAAAATTTCACCGGATGCAACAAGTATAACATTTATCTATTAATTACCATTTTCTACTTTGATCAATTTTAGATACAAGTTTGATCACTAGAGAATCTTGATCCTGTCTAAGCAACTGTTAAAGAAAATGTCATTGTTAGAAAACAATTAAGGAGTTGTCTGATCAATTTCAAGAGTTTAGGGAACTTATAAGAATTATGTGTTAATATAAGGGCTCTGACTGAAAATATCAAATATTTAATGAATTACACAACAAATTTAACTTCAACAGCAAAATAATCGGCGCCAAGTACTTCAAGCACGACGGCAATGTGCCTACCGGCGAAATCCGATCACCGATCGATATCGACGGCCATGGAACGCACACGTCATCTACCGTAGCCGGCGTTTTAGTCGCTAACGCGAGTCTCTATGGCATAGCAAACGGCACCGCCCGCGGCGCGGTTCCGTCGGCGAGGTTGGCGATGTACAAGGTTTGTTGGGCGAGATCCGGCTGTGCCGATATGGACATCCTCGCCGGATTCGAAGCTGCGATTCACGACGGCGTTGACATTATCTCCATCTCTATCGGTGGTCCAATCGCGGATTACTCTTCCGATTCGATTTCCGTCGGGTCGTTTCACGCGATGAGGAAAGGGATCCTGACGGTGGCATCCGCAGGGAACGACGGACCGAGCTCAGGCACTGTAACGAACCATGAGCCTTGGATATTGACGGTTGCGGCAAGCGGAATCGATCGGACGTTCAAGAGCAAGATAGATCTCGGCAACGGCAAATCCTTCTCTGTAAGCATCTCAAATCAATCTCCTAATTAGCTAAATTCAATTTAGGGTTTGACATGAGAAAATTTGATGATTAAAAGGGAATGGGAATAAGCATGTTTAACCCAAAAGCCAAATCGTATCCGCTTGTAAGCGGCGTTGATGCTGCTAAGACCACGGACGATAAGTACTTGGCTAGGTAACATCGTCATTATCAACTTGATTTGAATATGTTAAGACAAAGAAGACCTATGAGTATGAGTAATTAAGACCCAGACATTGTTTGTTTGTTGATGTTAATAAGGTACTGTTTCTCTGATTCTTTGGACCGAAAGAAGGTGAAGGGAAAGGTAATGGTGTGTAGAATGGGGGGAGGTGGTGTGGAGTCGACTATTAAAAGCTATGGAGGTGCTGGTGCGATCATTGTAAGTGATCAATATCTTGACAACGCTCAGATTTTCATGGCACCTGCCACCAGTGTTAATAGCTCCGTTGGCGATAGCATCTACCGATATATCAACTCCACAAGGTGTTTTACTTGGATACTGAGGAAACCCTGAGAAGAACAAGTGTGTTCAGAGCTAACTCGTTGTTTTTGCTTTTCCCAGATCGCCATCGGCTGTGATTCAGAAAACCAGGCAAGTGACAATCCCTGCTCCATTTGTTGCTTCTTTTTCATCAAGAGGTCCCAATCCGGGATCAACACGCCTTCTCAAGGTATATGACTTGATCAATGTCATCTGTTTATGATAAATGCGGATCTTATCTTATGTTTCTGCCATTTTTGCGGATTGTAGCCTGATATCGCTGCACCCGGGATTGATATATTGGCGGCCTTCACTCTCAAGAGATCACTGACTGGGTTAGATGGTGACACCCAATTCTCAAAATTCACCATCCTGTCTGGCACCTCAATGGCATGCCCTCATGTTGCTGGTGTAGCTGCGTACGTCAAGTCTTTTCATTTGGATTGGACACCCGCTGCCATCAAATCCGCCATCATTACCTCAGGTAACCCACTTTTTTGTTCTTGTGAAATGGAAAACAGAGAAAGCAGTAACAACATGTTTTTCTCTGTTTGTTTGGCAGCAAAACCGATAAGCCGGAGAGTGAACAAGGACGCAGAGTTTGCTTATGGAGGAGGCCAAATAAACCCACGACGAGCCGCAAGCCCTGGCTTAGTCTACGACATGGACGACATCTCCTATGTTCAGTTCTTGTGCGGCGAAGGCTACAACGCAACCACTCTGGCTCCATTGGTGGGGTCACGCTCCATGAGCTGCTCCTCCATTGTCCCTGGACTCGGCCACGATTCCCTCAACTACCCAACAATCCAACTCACGTTGAGATCTGCCAAAACGTCCACATTGGCCGTGTTCAGGCGGAGAGTCACCAACGTGGGACCACCGTCGTCGGTCTACAACGTCACCGTCAGGGCACCAAAAGGAGTTGAAATCACGGTGGAGCCACATAGTCTGTCGTTTTCAAAGGCTTCACAGAAGAGAAGCTTCAAAGTGGTGGTGAAGGCCAAACAAATGACTCCTGGGAAGATTGTTTCAGGCTTGCTCGTGTGGAAGAGCCCACGTCACTCCGTTCGGAGCCCCATTGTTATCTACAGTCCTACTTCTGATTAACTTAATCACATCCTGAAACAAATTCAATGTAATCCTCTCACTTTGTTCGTAAACAAATTCAATGATAAAGTAATAAAAAACTACTAAACTTATAGGCGAATCAGCCCATATTAGAACATTTGGGCCTATGGCCCAATAACGCAACTAATGTTATTTACAGAATAACCCCTACCTTTTTCTAAAGTGATAAATATCGGAAAAGCCCTACGCAAAGCTTCTTCTTGAGCTTTTGTCTTTGGTCATCAATGGAAGCTTCTCTACCCGAAGAAGTGTTTCAGCCGCTGCTACAAGCTTCGGATTTATCATACTCTCTAGAAGATTGTTTGAAGTTTCTTCTAGAGTCTTCCAAGACTGATTCAGGCCGCTCCGATCTCGCTTCCAAGGCTATCCTTCCGTCGATCCTCCGTCTTCTTCAGCTTCTTCCTTACCCATCTTCCCGCCATTATCTAAATCTCTCTCTGAAAGTCCTCCGAAACCTATGCGCCGGCGAGGTTTCGAATCAGAACTCTTTCGTCGATCACGACGGTTCTGTTATCGTCTCCGAGTTGCTTGATTCCGCCATTGCAGAGAAAATCACGGATTTCGAGACTGTTAGGTTCGGATTGCAGGTTCTAGCGAACGTTGTATTGTTCGGAGAGAAACGTCAGAGAGATGTGTGGCTCCGCTTTTTCCCGGAGAGGTTCTTATCAATCGCTAAGATTAGGAGGCGTGAAACCTGTGATCCTCTGTGTATGATTTTGTATACTTGCTTTGATGGAAGCTCAGAGATTGCTTCAGAGCTTTGCAGCAGCGAAGGGCTCACCATCATCGCTGAAACTCTACGGACTTCATCTTCCGGTAACTCTTATTTCTGAAGCCAAAATGCCATTTTGATCTGAAAGTCGTGATTTTTATCCAATTAAGTTGATTTATTTGCTGTCTGATTCAAAAACCAAATCTTGTTATTGTTTGAAGTTGGGTCTGTGGAGGATTATTGGCTCAAATTACTGGTTTCGAGAATCTGTGTTGAAGACGATTGCTTCCCCAAGCTCTTCTCCAAGTTATACAAAGTTGAAACGGTACTAAATGCTGAAAATGAGAAATTTACATCAGAGCAAGCCTTTCTTCTGAGGATGGTGTCTGATATTGCAAATGAGCGGATAAGAAAAGTGTCAATCCCCAAGGATACAACTTGTTCGATTCTCGGATTATTTAAGCAATCAGTTGACGTTTTCGATTTTGTTGCGGGTGAAAGATCCGAGCTTCCAACGGGTTCAACTATAGTAGACGTGATGGGCTACTCTCTGGTGATAATAAGGGATGCTTGCGCTGGAGGAAGCCTTGAAGAACTCAACAAGGACAACAAGGATTCAGGTGATACTGTTGAGTTGCTCTTGTCCTCTGGACTAATAGAGCTCCTCCTTGATCTGCTTCGCAAACTTGATCCTCCAACAACTATAAAGAAGGCTCTAAACCAGAGTCCTACTTCTTCTTCTTCTTCTTCTTCATTTAAGCCCTGCCCTTACAGAGGATTCAGGAGAGATATTGTGTCGGTGATTGGGAACTGCGCATACAGAAGAAAAAAGGTACAAGATGAGATCAGGGAGAGAGATGGGCTCGTCCTAATGTTGCAGCAGTGTGTGACTGATGATGAGAACCCGTTCTTGAGAGAATGGGGCTTGTGGTGTGTGAGAAATTTGCTGGAAGGGAACCCAGAAAACCAGGAGGTGGTGGCTGAGTTGGAGATTAAAGGCTCTGTGGATGTGCCTCAACTCCGTGAAATTGGTCTCAGAGTTGAAATTGATCCTAAAACAGCCAGGCCAAAGCTTGTCAACGACACCTGAAGCTTCTTTGCCATGGCTGATGCAATCTATATATGTGTTGTTTCCTTATACATGATTTCTTATTCTAATTAGAATTAGGATTAAGTAGTTTCTTTTTTCACCAAAGACTAAGTATTAGCTGATGTAATTTTTACTTGTTATTCAAACTTTGTTTATTTACAAAGTGTCAAAGTCTGATCAATTGTTGTTTACACCTATGAGATCTTCTTACGCCCCAAATATTTTAACAATCCGCAATTCATAAATAAATAAATGCGAGTCTGCTTATGATCAGATTGTGAGATTCTCCTGTATGGCAAGAAAGGATCCGACAATGTTTCCTCCGACATCAGGGAACTCCTGGCTCCCTGGAAGTGGCCGGACTTTGCCTTTCCGATCAACTTCCACCGGATATTTCATCAGATGTCCGCTCATCTCCGACACTTCCTCACTCCTAAACTGTTTCCAGTTCTCCTCCGCCATTGTTCTCACTTTCCTTACACACTCTAGACTCTCTGGCTCCACAAAGCAATCATCTAGCAGCGCCATGTGTTCTGCCCAAAGCGACATTCTATATCCGTATATCTGAAAATTATGTACAAAGTATTTTCGATATGACTAGGACTATGAAATCATGTGTATATTATCTTTGTATGCGATTACCTGACCCCGAGGACCAGATTGTCGTCGTGCCCATGTATGTTGAGGCTGGTAAGCTCCCATTGCAATCTCTGTATCTCTTGTCCCTTCCATTGATCTTTGGTTTATGTTTGCAGAACCAATTACCACATACTCATCATCAACAACCATCCCTTTTGAATGAACATATATCATAAATCTTCTGCTCTTTCGACATGATGCCTATAACACCGTTTTGATTACAACTCATCATTCAATGACGATGGAAACCGCATTAGCAAAGTCAAGCAGTTGGTTTGGTTACCTGAGGAGTGTTCTCGTTGCTTGCACTTCCTGTACCCGATTCATTAGTTCCGTTCATCATTTCTCTGTTTCCAAGACAGAAGAAATTCAGATAGTCTTGTGGGGAGTATTCACCTTCGAGCCCGGCCTCCACTAACGCATTGTAGATAGTTCCATACATCATTTGCATCGTCTTGTGCTGCAAAGACGATAACTCTGACATTCAGTTTCACAAACTCCCGGTGATGGAAGGACCATGATTTTTTTTAACTAGATTGTCCACGCAAGAAAACATCATATCGGGTGTAAAAGAATTACATATTGCTAATCCATACTGTTCAATTATAACAAAATGTGCCTGAAAATTCCCCAACTACATACCAGTTTAAGAACATACACAATCAAGATTATATTCACTAGTTTCTACTTAAATGATCATTTGACCAACTTTTATGGAAATATTAAGGAAAAGATCATGATATCAATATTGTCACATGGGCTAAGAGAGAGAAGGTTAACGGTTTGCACAGAAGCATCTTCACTAGAATTACCTGCCAATATAAAATTCTTTGTGTAGCGGCGCCGGTTGGAACTCCTTCCGGCCACATTGGAATGACGATATATGCAGCAAACCGTTCCCTTGCTCTGATCTTATCAGCAATCTTCAACGCAATTTCCATAGGAATCAGGTTGTTGGCACCTACATCACCACAACATAGAATAAACAACCTTAAAGAAATGACCGAAGTTACCAAGACCATTGTCTCAAGTTGAGAAAAATACTGAGAATTTGAGTTTTTTCTAACATAAGCTCATTTGAAAAAAAAAAAGACATAACAAACCTATGTCCTTGTGAGCATTCCAGTCGTAGGAGGATCCAATGAAATACTGGTTCTCGATGTAGATGAAGTGTTGAGCTGCACGAATGGCCTTTACATATGCGGTGTGTATGCTCATGTCAATGAGCACATTCTTACCGCACACCAAATTCTGTCCAAACGAAATCCCTCTATCCATCAATTTCCCAGCCAAATAAGCATCCACCATATTATAATGAGTAATGACAGCACAACTTTTCTTTGATTTTTCAACTCACCTTGCTTGTAGCATATTTTGGATCCTTTGGGAAACCTTTCACAGAGTTTGAATCGATTGAACGGAAAATCTGAAGTAGAAACCAGACAATCATTAGCTTCGAAACAAAATCAACTGGGATGATATTTGTGGACCAAAGTATAAAATTTGCATGGTCCAACTGAGAGATGGGCATCTTTCATGGACAATCACATTTTATACAATAAGAGTTTCAAGGTGCTTACCTGAACATGCCAAGCCTCAGGGTCGTTTGCACTAACAGTAGGAGCATCCAAAACTCTTAATATATCTGGAATCCTGTCGATCCTTAGTAATGCATCATCATATGATGTCTTCAATTTATTGATTCTGTGAGGCTTAGCAGCCTTCAGCCACCTCTCCTCAAAGTTGGTCAGCACATCATATGCAGCTGGGCCATCAATCTTACTGTGCAAGTCATGCCAAGGTTCTCTTGGACAGCCGGACACGTTACCCTTAATCACATTTTAGTACACCAAGTCAAGGCTTTCCCATTCAGAACAAAAGAAACTAGCAACTACGAATTACCTAGGTAATCACCAAGAATTTGAGAAGACAGACAAAGATTGAAGTACCACTTAATAAAGTTAGAGGCAGTATTTTTTTTTCACTGCCAAAGTTTATTCCTTGCTAAGAATTACTTAAGTATTCGACACCAAAGTTACATTAAATATGTTTAGAAAGGCAAGCAGACATACCGTGAAAGTGGGGTTGTGATAGTCACCTTTATGATCGGTTTGCAGCGTCCTAAACAACGGATGTTGAGGAGTATCATATCGGCCATCACATAGATCAAGTCCGCCCACAAAAGCTACGATTTTCCTTCTGTTACCCCCAGCATCGGCATCTACTATCAAGGTTTTTTGGTGGTGTGTATAGATGGTTCCAACTTCCTGATGGACTCAAATATAAATAGAAGCCGGATACTTCAACCAAAAAAAAGACCAAAAATTCATGTTCTACCCTCTGTTTGACCCAACTATGTCGCTTTCCAGCATTTCGAGGGCATAGCAAGACTTGAACTGAGGAGTCCTTGAAAAAACGGCGTATCTCCTCGTCATGGGTTCCCATCACCCCATCCTGTTCAAGTGAATAAACTGTGTCAATACCTACAACATACATGAATCACAATATCTAAACCATGTCATCTAAGATACGTATATCTCTATTGAGTAGTAGATTTCTGCATGAAGCAGGCACTTCTCATACTTACTGAAGATTAAACCCATCAAAACAAATCTGGTTTACAAGGGAAAGTAGGCTAACAATAAGCGGAAGGAACCTCGATAAGACTTCAAGAAGCCAAAGCTGTTGACTTCCGAGACACTAAAAGATGGTCTGATTTCTAGCCTATAGCGTAACTAACATATGCACTTCACAATCAATAAAGAAGTAGGGACTTGAGGTTTCTAGTAACTTACTGTCATATATCCCAAGATGTTTTGTGAAGTTGGGTCGTCCCAAACCAAAAGCAGGACTCTCACACCTTCTTGGGACTTTGATCTTAGGAGCTCACCCAGAGTACATTCTGAAGCAGGATCTTCTTTATCCCTAACAAGCCTGGCATTATGCCACACTGACCATCCTGTAATATAAATCAAACGTCTAGCTTGACAAATGGCATGAAACATATCATGCCAACACTTTCCATGTTCGTAACACATTCCATTGCCGAGTTTTATTCCCGGGAGCATCCCTTCAGGTACATGTGCATCTTGATACAATGTTACACTTCCACCTTCCCTAAGAGGAAAATATGTTCCAGGCACCCCCTGGTAATAGGGACCTGCACCAACTCCGCTGTGATAAACACTGAGTTTATCCATTGAAGTATATTGAATCGATAATGATAGAGTTGCCCCAGGTTTACAAGGCTTTCCATTGCTGTCCCGAATCGAGTAAGTCCCTTCAATTCTTGCACCTGAGTAAATTTGTTCAACAGGGATTGTAACAATTCCTATAAGCTGTGAACCAACGGCGTCACTGTCCTTAACAACAAAATGGACCTCAGCAGCGTGATGAGCAACGGGGACATAAAAATGCTGCTGCCAGACAGGATTTTCGCTGTTGCTTATGACATATGTTCTTCCTATGACTGCACCTGCAACTGATATGGAAACGTAAGGATCACTAGTGATCTTCTTGCTCAACTGTCCTTCGATCATATTGCTCATGCCTCCAAACACAACACCCAATGTCTTGTGGAACAAATCCATGTTTGGTAGATTATTTGCACAAGAAACCCAAATATCCAAATTCCCATGCAACAAGAGGACCTTCAAGGAGGCTTTACCAAAGGGCACAATGTGCATGCCGGGACTATGTGGCGATGCGGTAGATGTAAAACCATGAGTAGACGAATCCAGCCTGCCCGAGTATGATAAATCAGAATGACTTGAAAACGAGTTGCTAGGGTGTTGATAGAAGTTCCCCTGCCAGGATCCCGAAGAATGGGAGGATAAATATGGAGCAGAGGGTGGCGGTGGCACAGTTGGCTGATTGACAGAAACAGTCAGACCGGTCAAAAGCTCATCGAGAGGAGGGTAAAGAGATGGGGAAGAGGAAGCATTACTGCTGACATTCTCATCCACAGAAGTCACACTATGTTGCGGTTGAGGCGGTGGATATTGGGATGGCTCTTGATAGGAACCATAGTTGCCAAAGCTAGCCCGAGGGTGGGGAGTTGGTTGATGAGAAGGATAAGGGTAAGGAGGAGGAGGAGGAGGAGGAGGTTGGTGTTGGTAATCAAAAGAAGCATAGTAACTCAATGGAGGGTGGTGGTGGTGGGTGTAGTCTAATGGACCCGAATGAGACATTGATCCATGGTGATGAGGCTGTGGTGGGTAAGGATAAGGCCGGGGAGGCCTATAAGGGTAATAAGGGTTTGGAGAATTCGAACCATAATTCTCCATCGTAACCAATACACCACAGCTGAGAGCTGACTGATTCCTAAAGAAATTCAAATGTCTTCAACGCAGCTAAAGATTTCAAAGAGCAATCTTACAAGGGTTTTCTAAATCAACAATGGCGGTTTGCGATTGATCAGAAGAGAGAGATTCGGATAAGAGCAGCTTCCAATGAATTGAAGGAGACTTACCTTCGCAGGAGCTGAAAATGGAGGAACCGTTCTATACGATGATCAGAAAACGAACAAGAAAGAGTCTCTTTCCAAATTTTTGATTTTTTGGTTTTGGTTTTGTTTTGTTTTGTGGACTAAAGGTTAAAGTGGTCAACTTAACTTACTGTAGCCGGTCACAATTTTCCACTTGTCAACCTTTTTTTTTTTTTTTTTTACCAATTTATCTAAATATGACGAAAGAATATCTATGATTTAAAGAAAATATATACTAACTACATATGACTTTGAGTTAAAGATGCATAAATTCTTTTCTAAATATACACTACATAAATGAATATATTTAGATTATATATAGTTAATTTGTGTACTACTCCCTCTGTTTCACAAAGAGTGTTGTTTTAGAGTTTTGCACACAGATTAAGAAAACATTAAATTTTTTGTTTTTTCTAAACAAAAACATCATTACCTATGTACTTAAACACAATCTGCCCAATAGTAAAACAATCTGCAGAATACTAATAGTCATAAAACATAAAAAATCATTAAATTTTGCATTGAAAACCTAAAACGACACTCTTTGTGAAACAAAAATAAAACCTTAAAACGACACTCTTTGTGAAACGGAGGGAGTAATAAATTGGCCTTAATTTATTTCCTTTGTAAAATAAAATAAAGGTCAAGTTCATGCCTGTCTAGCCGGTCAATTAGCATTGAATGTACTAGTGGGGCATTCTCATGATGATCCAAATAAGCAGAAACGTCCGAAGTTAAAAAAAATCTTCTTTATTGATTTCATATTAAACTACTTGGAGCATATACGATTATGATGAACAGCTCTCACGAACAAAGATTTTACGGCGCATCTCTCCCCACAACACTCAAATCTTCAACGGACGGTTCTGTATGTACGACATCCCCGCGATGGATAGGTTCTCCCTGCAACACTCAGACCACTACGAACGGCTCTGCATGCGGTACTATGGACCTCTAATAAGTTTTGCACCATTAATCTACAAGAAACTGCGTTCTCTGGGACTCGAACCCCAGATCTAGATATAAAAATATTAGTGAACCTTTGGTCAACCATGGGACCAAAGAGACTTCTACTGCTTTATTTACTTTGTCTAGATTCTAGATTACTCGAAGATTTAATTATCGAAACATATTTGTTTTTCTTTCTAAAACTTGGATTCACCTCTTATCTTTAATTATAGAGTTCTCTAAATCCTTTTCTGATTAGGTTTATGCATGATTTTGAGTTTCTCCTAAATTTTTTTTTGGTTCACAATGAATATTTTGATAAGTTTCCTTTCATCACTGACTTTCTAGTTATACTCATGCTTAAATTCACGACCAACAAACGAACCTCTCCATGCTTTGGACTCAGATGATGAATCAAGCTTCATGCTCTACAAGGAAGGTCACAAGATCGTTGGGTTAACATGCTTATAATCAGATTGGGTCCTATGTCTTGCTCATCACCTATCCCTGAACATATATATATGACCATTTATAGACCAAGTTTGATCATGTTTTTTACCGTTTCACTTGCATTGTCTTCTGCGTTGTTTGGTTTGTCTTTCCGCAATCTCATGTAATAAGGAAAAGGTTATTTCTACATCAAGTTCTTATTTTCTCATAAATCAGCACATTCCTCAAATCTTACTTGTATCCCAAGTATCCTTAGTTACCTTGTTTACAAAAACCATCTTTTTACCTTGTTTACAAACATGCCATGGTATATAATAAATTGTATATATTAAATTTATTTATTTATTCCTTAAATAATACAGAATTAAACAATGATATGAAACTTTTTAAATTTAGTATTTGACGATTTAGAAACACAATTTTCGATTCATAATCATGTTGTAACAAGAAAAAGTTATATATGCATCAGTCAAACACCACACATGGTGCTTTGGACTCTTCGAATTTAAATATTGCAAATACTATATTCAGGGCCTGCCTTTTGGAGCGACTCAACAAGCAGTTGTTCTAGAGAGCAAAATATTAACATGCATCATCATTTTGAAAATATGCCGTTATTAGGTGTATATATTGCCATATTGGTATAAGCCATTTTGATACGAGCATGTTGGTATACTACAAAAGCGGATTACGTATACATACAAAGCATTACTCAACCATCGTACTAATTACCAAACATTCTTGACCCACTCACTCAAAAACATACTCGACCTTTTTTATATTATTTGCATATTATCAAGTGGATCAATCTTTAGCGATTACAAGTACAACTCATATTAAATTTATCAATAAAGATCATTTATCACTATTTAATCATCCTTCTCTCTCTGTCTCTCTGGAATTAGAGTTCAGATCTATCTGTCTTTCCTTTGCTTTGTCTAGCAGACCCTACTTTGATCCTTGGCCTTAACCTGAAGGTTAGTTTCCGTTTGGTTTGTCTACATTCATAATTGTACTTGTACAACGATTATAGGAAACGTACTTGTATTTGTTGGCAACTATGAGTGAGCCAAACATTGCCATCTCTCCTCCTGATGATGATGATGGTACAAGCAGATCTTCTACTTCTTCAACCTACTTTAAGCTCTCTGATATTCCGGGTTCCTTGATCTCCACGGTTCTACTAGGAGAAGATAACTATGCGGATTGGTCTGCCAATATTCGGAATTTACTCCAAGAAAAACAAAAGATTGGGTTCATCGATGGTTCAATTCCTAAACCGTTAACCAATCCTGACCTAACTTTGTGGCTTGCAACAAACTCTATAATCGTGGGGTGGATCCTCAAAGCCATCGATCCCAAAATTCGTTCCACGGTTGCTTTTGTTAATGATTCTTGCAGACTATGGGAGAGCCTACGACGTCGATTTTCCGTTGGAAACGGGGTTCGTGTCCATGAGCTAAAGGCTATGATACGTTCTTGTAGGCAAGAAGGCCAAAGTGTTAAAGATTATTTTGGCCGACTCTCCAAGTTGTGGGAAGAGCTCCAGAGCTACAAATCTACCCGGGATTGTTCTTGCCATGCCGCAAAATATATTGAAAAGGAAAAGGAAGATGAACGAGTTCATCAATTTCTGATGGGACTTCATAGATCTGGTTTTAGCTCTATCCGCTTCAGTATCGTTAGGCAAGATCCTCTTCCAGATTTAAACCAAGTATACTCCCTTGTGATAACGGAGGAGCAACGTTTTCAGGCTGCTAAGTTGAAGGAACTTAAGCTCGAGCCCGTGCAGCAACATGTTCAGGCTGCTAAATCGAAAGAACATAATCTCCAACCCGTGAAACAACATGTTCAGGCTGCTAAGTCGAAGGAACTCAAGCCCGAGCCCGAGCAAGTGCAGTTACATCATGTTCGACCTCAACGCAAAGACATGTCTTGTTCTCATTGTGGGCGTAGAAGACATCAGGCTGAGACATGTTATGTACTTCATGGCTATCCAGAGTCGTGGCATGAACGACAAAAGAACAAGCCACCCAAAGGCCGGGTAAGAATAAGACATGGTACACGAGCAGCTAGTTCTGGCAAGTCAATCAATACTCAGGAAAGAGTTAATGTTTCTCAGACGGCAACTACCAATCAGTCCCTCTCAGGCTTGAACATGGATAAATTCAACACTTCTATGAATCTACGGACAATGCAACATCCTGAATCTAACATCTGTTATGGAGGTCCATCAGGTACAACCAGTATCTACTGATGTGATTATTGATACACTTCTCATTGTTTTTTTGTTTTGTTTTTAATATTCAAGTATAAAGGTTCTGAATTGGTTACACCGTAAGAAACAAAGTGGATATAGAACATATATATCTTACTAGTCATGTTAATACTTTCCACATACTGTTTATGTATCATATTATCAGATTTAGATCGATTCCCAATGGCACAAAAGTTGGAACCCAAGGGTGGGAATGGTGGCAAGGAATGGGATGATGGAGATGACTATGAAGGTGTATCACAGATCTATATACGAGAGGGTTGTGGAGGTATAGAGTCTATCAAGTTCGATTATGTTAAGAATGGACAACCTAAAGATGGACCAATCCATGGTGGCTCGGGTCAAAGTTTCACCGAGTGGGTACGTCTTTGAACTCTCTATGATTTCTAGGTCGATTCATCAAAAGTGTGCTTGATTTTGCTACGATTTCTTACTTTGTTAGATTGCATAGCCAACCAATATGGTCGGTTTGATGTCGACTCTTTTATTTTGTTTTGTTCGTTAATAGATTATCATTACTATATATCTCCCAAGTAACATCCATATTATTCTTCCTTGAATCTTTAGGTTAACTGTGTATGAATACCGTTTCGATGTATTTAGTTTCTGATTGGTGTAGGCTTGGTTAATGTTATCGACTCAGTATATATGCATGATCTTCTTTTCAATCAATATGAACAGATTTTTTTCATGTGGATGTATACATTTTGCAGTTTGATCTAAACCATACATGTGATGAACATATCTTATCGGTAACCTGTTTCTTCGAGGAGGGTGCAATACAAGGATTTGTGATCAAAACCAATATCAGGACTTCTGCACTCATGGGATATAACCTTGGTACTACGTTTAAACTTGAAGTCAAAGGCAAGAAGATCATTGGGTTTCATGGATCTTCTGGCAAAAACCTTTACTCTCTTGGAGCTTATTTCGCACCGCTTTCTCCTGGTAATTTGAAATACTAAGAGTTCCTCGGAAAAGCTTATCTATCAGATTATCGGTTTGATTCATGAATGCTTGAAATTGTACGTTTTGGCCTGCCTTTCACTGTTATTCAATTGCTTGCAATAAAACAATGATTTTCCAAACTATTGTTTCAATGGTGTTAGAAAGAAAAACATTACTAGTAAATTTTTTTTGTATAGCCACGAAAAAGCCTTTAAAGCCATGAAAAGTTAGTCACAAAGCTATAGCCAGGATTTTTTTTCATGATGAAGCATGAAACGCTATAAAACAAGATTGGTAGCTAATAGCTATACTCAACAAGAAAGGATCGATTTCATTAGTATGTTTATACCGGTTGCAAAGATGGCTATAATGAAGATCCTTCTCGGCCTTGCTCCAAAGATGTTATCCTAATTTTGTTTTTGGTTCACAATGAATATTTTGATAAGTTTCCTTTCATAACTGAGTTTCTAGTTATCTACCTTGCGACTTACCCACTCACTCACATCATGTCCAACAAAGAGTTCCAAATTTCCCATTAAGAAATAGGAATAAACTAAAAAGAAAAAGTTGAGCAGAACTAATTGAACTAATTGATCATGTACTCCAAAACACATCAAAAGAGCAATTACTTGCTTAACATACTGAATTGATCTTTTGCTGTACATAGGAATTGTTGGACCCTCTAAATCCCTACCTATTAAATATAATCGCGAACAGAAACTAGAAAAGGAAAAAAAACAAACAAACGCAAAGCCAATGTGAAACATTTTTCTCTTGAAATCTGAGAAGTCATCACGATTTTCTGTAATTTCCCAAAAACACAGATTTCTGGATCCAGCTTGCTAATTAGCTTCCGGATCAGTATTCCTTGTCTCTACCAAATGATCACTCACAATGTAGAATTGTCCCAGGTGGTACCCAGCGACACACCGTGCTTCTTTATGATCTTAACCACCTCAAGAAGGACCTCTTGTTGTGTATTGTATAGCTCCTCTTTTCCCTGAGACAAATGACCACCATTCTATGTAAGAAGATCACATCAAGTTACTAAACTTTGTCTACATTTGACGGCAAAGATTGCTACTAGTAGTAGTAGTAGTTAACATTCAAAAAAATGAGAAGAATGTTACAGAGACTAAAGAGAGTGTACCATGTGTTTCAGATTGCACCCAATGGTAAGTTCAGCGAAAGATTTTTCCACTCGCGATAAGTAACAGTGTGGAGCTTCTTTGCCTAAGAAAACTTTTGTGTTTGACCTCAACATTTCCTTGATTTCATTTGATATTTGAGGAATCTTATCCAAGTCATCGATCTGCAGTGGGATCTTGGATGCTATAGCTCGCCACTGAGCGCGTGACTTATTCACAATCACCTATATGTGTTATTATACTTCAGGGTCAATTTGATTTCCCTCCATGAAAAATGTATCATGTTCATGTATATAGCAATCAGATTCAAACAAATGAGATAATTAAAATGAATGTGAGTATTCACTCAGTGTGGACGCTTTTGAGTGTGAAATTTTTGAAAGCTAGAGCATTAGCTTCTGCAATATGAAGATGAATAGTGCAAAACAGTAAACTAACCTGACTCGAAAACAGTGAATTGGGTACCAAAACCGGAAATTTTTCTGCATTCAGCAAAGATGTTGTCGTAAGTCCAATTTCAACAACTTGACCTTCTACGGATCCAGCCTGAAAAGTGGAGACAAGGAAGACACTATATGTTGAGAAAAATATAAGTGAGAATTGCCAATAGATTTGCTTGCTCTATGAAACTTAATAAAAGAAGAGAGTAGAAAAGCATGTCACATAAAAAAAATTAAAGTTCAACTAACTTTGATAGTATCACCCATAGAGAACGGCCGCAAGAATTGCATTGACAGACCACTCAGCACATTACCAAGGATATCTCTGGCAGCAAATGCGGTGGCTACCCCTGAAAAACGCAAATCAAAATTGATATGTTATGAGCAAAAATACTACAGAATCCTATATGCTTGTGGTGCCCTCTAGAGGCCTTTATTTTCTGTTGAATCCTAGCAATAAGCATTATAGGCTGAGCAAAACGACTAATTTGAAAAGGAGAACATTACACACACCTCCAACTCCACCAACTGTCAAAATAGATTGAACAGCTACACCACATGCTTCAGCTGAAGCCATCAAACCAATTGCGAAAAGACCAACTGATGATACTTTGTCTAAAGTCAATATCTTCTCCCTATCTAGCCCACCAAAACTCTTAGCAGACAACATTCGGGTAATCACATTGGTCTTCCACCGATAAAGGAACCACACAAGTGAGAGAATAACCGCTCCCTTCACTGTCGGGGAAAAGTATTGAGCTGCTATAGTTGTTGGCGCCACCATTGCGGCACTGCATAATTTTCATATAGATCATGTTACTCATATACATTAAAAGATTTCAAAGGCAGGAAAGTTAGAGAGACTGACATTTGTGCAAAAGCTATGAATGTCACTAAGTAACGAGCAGGATCCTCTAAAGCTCCCCAAAAGCTTTTCTCATATGGAACATCTTCGTTAGAGAAGCCAACGGGAAGCAGCTTAGCGGAACTTTGCATAGCATAAGTGTGAAACCTCCTGAGAATCCTAGGCATCACAACCCAAGCAAATAAAGTACCAGTCATGGTGAGACTAACAGGAACTATGACTTCTTTAAGATAAGGGTTGGAGTCTAGGAATTGCTGAACATGAGGGATCATCTCATCAGAGGCTTCTTTAGTCTTCCTTGCAGTCTCAGAAACCGCATCGACACTAGTCTGCAACACATCTTTGGCTTTCTCAACCCAATCAATGTCATTCCCATTCCCATCACCACCAGGGGCTACAATACCATCAGATTTGGAGCTGAAAGCTCGTGCGCAAGAGGGATGGCCTAAGAAAGGGATCGAGTAATTGAAAGGCTTAGCATTATGCAGGCGTAAATTCGATGAAAAAGAGACCATGGAAGTAGAAGCTTTTGGTCCATCAAGAGAGTTTCTTCCGCAAGTAAAGGACCTGGCATGAGAGTTTAGGAGATTGAAAGAAGCGTAAGGCTCTTTCTTCTGCAAACCAGATAACGATTTAGCAGCGGAATGAGGTTTAGAAGACGAGTTTATTGATCTTTGAAGTGACTTGAGAAGCGATAACCTAACTCCGGCCATTGAAAACTCGCCCGCACCACTCTCGATCTACAAAGCAAAATCAAAAACAGGATTCAAAAGTCTTAAAGAAGAACACACTTCACCAATTAAGAGCTTGCTAGAGTTTCGATAATGGCGGACCAGATATCAAAATCGAAGTCAATGGGTTTTACTAATAGAGAATTTGAAGAGATCACAGACTTATATCTTTACCTGGAGAGACTTGCCTTGATGATAGCTAGATTCTTAGCCAAAATTATCGCTGGAGATAAAGAAAGAATTCTATATTTTGCTTGGCAAAGAGGGAAAGAAGCAGATGATGAAGAAACAAACACACAAGATTTTATTTATTTCGTCAACCTGCTTCTTATTTTGTCTAACCCCACCGAGGGTATCTCGACGTCGTTTTAGGCACTTCAACTACTGGGCCTTTGGGCCCTAATCACAAATATTTTGGGCTTAATTAATTTGGTGCAAAACCTTATCAAGCGCACACACACACCTATGAAATTGTGAATCTGTGGTGGTGCAGTGGTGCTTCAGCTAAAAGTCAAGCACTTTACTCGGTCGCCATTCTCATTCCACAAATTACAAAGAAAAATTACTTAACGACGTGTACATATATAATGACGGTATTGTCCAATATGGTTACAAATTCAATATGTTTTGGACAAAACAAGTAATCTATATTCCGTGTCTAAATCTGCTGCTTATAATGATAATTTATATACAACCACTAAAAATAGAAGATATTTATCATGAATATTTTGCACTATACTTAGCTACAATAAATAATGATAGATTGTGATAACGCTATTTCCAATTATTAATTACTGTAATCTTAAATGTTGACATGTTATTTTCCATCTAATAATGGTTTTCTTTTTCTTAACATCTGTGGAGTAATGTTCCAATTCCAAAACAACAACTTTGACTCTAATGAATTGGGAAACATAAAAAGAGATCTTTAGCAAAAAAACAAAAAATGTACATAAACAGAGATATTTTTCTAAATCATAATTTTAGATCAAATATAATTATCCAAAATTTGGTAAATAACAATTGACCAGTTTGCAGCATCGAGACAAAACTTAACTTTTTGGCATTATATAAAGATTAAAAATTAATAAAAAATGGAAGATCAAACTTGGTTTCATTTCTCCATTTCTTAATAAAAAGCCTTCAATCTCACACCAACACTAGTGCTGCTATAAAACCAAAAAAAAACTTGTTTCTTCTTCTCCGGAGAGAAAAAACCCTAAAAATTTAGCATCTATGTCAATCAGAGCCATGGGAGAAAACAATCACAAAGACCAAAAACAACTTTCTTATGACAAATCTAATAAACCCTTTTTTCCTTCTTCTTCATCTCCATGCTCGTTCACGGCGATCGTCGTCCTCTTGATCTTCGTCTCATATCTCTTATACTCATTCAGTTTCATCTCTTTTCTAAACCCATATTCTCCTTCTAAAATCCCCAATTCTCTCCTCGTACCCGTTATCCGTCTCGGGTCGGGTCAAAAACCTGAGGAACAAACAGAGCTCAAACACATAGTCTTCGGCATCGCGGCGTCCTCAGATCTGTGGAAGCATCGCAGAGAATACGTGAAAACATGGTGGAAACCTAACGGAGTAATGAACGGCGCCGTTTGGCTCGACAAACCCGTCAATGACACCGTTTCCTCTTCATCAGCCTTGCCTCAGATCAGAATCTCCTCCGACACGTCAAGTTTCAAGTACCGTTACCGTAACGGTCACAGATCAGCGATCAGGATCACGAGAATCGTGTCGGAGACGGTGAGGATGTTAAACGGAACGGAAGCGGAGAGAAACGTGAGGTGGGTTGTGATGGGTGACGACGACACTGTGTTTTTCACGGAGAATCTTGTTAGGGTTTTGAGAAAATACGATCATAAACAGTTTTATTACATCGGAGCTCCGTCGGAGAGTCATTTGCAGAATCTTCATCAGTTTTCTTACGGAATGGCGTACGGAGGAGGAGGGTTTGCTATAAGTTATCCGTTAGCCAAGGTTTTGGAGAAGATGCAAGATCGTTGCATCGAGAGATACTCCGATTTGTACGGATCCGATGATCGGATTCATGCTTGTATGGCTGAGCTTGGTGTTCCTCTCACTAAAGAAGTTGGCTTCCATCAGGTAATTAGTTTTTCTTATTTTTTATTTTATTTTTGTGTTTGGGTTTTAGTCTACCGAGAAAAATCAGCCGGAAAAAAAAATGTGAAAAGGTAAAACTTAAAATCCGTGATTTGATTCATTTTTAGCTCACTAACTGATTATATGTATGATATTTTTAACAGTTTGATGTATACGGGAATCTCTTAGGGCTATTATCAGTCCATCCACAAGCGCCAATAGTGTCAATCCATCACCTAGACGTAGTGGAGCCTATATTCCCAAAAACAAACCGAGTCAACGCATTAAAGAAACTAATGATCCCAGCAAAACTTGATTCAGCGAGTCTTGTCCAACAATCGGTATGCTATGATAAAAGTCGTCAGTGGACAATGTCGATCTCGTGGGGATACACAGTTCAAATCACACGTACGTATATGCCAGCAAGATTTATGGAGATGCCCACTCGTACTTTTAATGATTGGCACAAACGTCGCGATTTCACTAATCTTGCTTTCAACACACGTCCCATAACATGGACGGATTGTCAGCGTCCGCGTGTGTTTTATCTCTCTCATGCGTTTAGCAATTCTTCTTCTACTTCTGATACAACGACGATTACCGAATATTTGAGGCACAACGAATGGTATCCTAAATGTGATTGGGGAATCGCAGATCCTTCCGACATCAATCAGATATTTGTCTACAAAAAGCCTACTCCGGATAGGTGGAACAAGGTAATTTTTCTTTTGTCTAATTTACTATATTTCTCTACAAGTCCTATATTGTTCACGATAAATTGTCAAATGTTTTTTAGGCTCCACGGAGAGATTGTTGTAAATTAGTGCCAACAACGACGAAGGGGACAATGGTGATCAATGTGGCAGCTTGTGCAAATGACGAAATTGTTGCTTATTCTGATAAATAGTTTGTTGTTTGTTGTTAACTTTACAAAGAGGACTTGCTTTTTGAAAAGAAAATCTGAACAAGAAGAATCTGTTTGTTTAATGTAGTGACATTTATATACTTAGGGAAAAATAATATACATCTTTTTGGGCCTTAAAGACAAGTTTAAATGTTTGGGCTTATGCCCATTAGTTTTAATAATGATAAATAGAAGAAAAAGACAATGAAGACGGAACAGCTGGAATGACGCGTTGACTGGGTCTCTCTCTGAACTGTCAATTTCATTACATATTTTCTTATTGTCTGATCGAAAATCAAATTCGACTGCAAAAATTTGTGCAATCTTTCCACGACAATGGCGATCCTCTACACAAGGATCGTATTCCTTCTCTTTGTCTTCTTTCTATCTTCTTCCGCATTTGCCTCTTTTTCTCCGGCCGACGAGTACCTCGTCAACTGTGGTTCCGACGTTGACTCCACCGTCGATAACCGTCGCTTCGTCGGCGACGCATCGGCTTCGAAGGTGAAGTTCTTCTCATCTGAAGGATCAATCGCTCTCAAAGGAGAAAACCTAGCTCTGAACGTTCCCCAAATCTACAGAACCGCTAGGATATTCGCACAACAGGCGAAATACAAGTTCAATGTCCGCGAGCAAGGGACTCATATGGTACGTCTCCATTTCAATCGGCTCTATTCCTCTAAAATCGATCTCAATGACGCTCTATTTCACGTTACCGTTAACGGTCATGTCGTCCTTAGGAATTTTAGCGGCGATGACAAGGACTCGTCATCTGATTTTGAATCTAGGGTTAGAGAATTCTTGATTTGGGTCGATGTTGGAGAGGTTGTTATTAGGTTTGTTCCTAGTAAAGATTCGAACTTTGCATTCGTTAATGCCATTGAAGTTATATCTGCGCCTAAAGATTTGATTGGTGACGCTGCAACCTCTGTATCTCATGATGGAACTGAGAAATTCAATGGTTTAGCTAAACAAGCGATGGAAGTTGTGTACAGAATCAATGTTGGTGGTAGAAAAGTTACTCCTTTTAATGACACATTGTGGAGGACTTGGGTTCCTGATGATGAATTCTTGAAAACTGGTGATGGGTCGTCTGAGAAAACTTACTTCACCGGGAGGATTAAGTATAGGTCTGGAGGGGCGAGTCGCGAAGTTGGTCCTGATAACGTTTACAACACTGCTCGTGTTGGTAAAAGAAGCAATGGATTGGTCGATATGAGTTGGGATTTCAAGGTGAGTGCGGGTTACAAGTATCTCATCCGGATGCATTTCTGTGACATAGCTAGCAAATCACTCGGCAGGCTATACTTTAACATTTACATTAACGGGAATTTGGCGTACCAAGATTTCGATATCTCATATGCTGCGGATGATGTCCTTGCTTCTCCGTATTACATTGATTTCGTGGTGGATGCTACTGCTGATGACAACAACAGCCCTTCTGGATCATCGATAACCGTAAGTGTTGGACCATCAAACAAGACTAATGTTGATGAACACGGAGTTGATGCGATATTGAACGGTGTTGAGATCATGAAGATGAATAACTCGATGGGTAGTCTTGATGGGTATGTTTCGACAGAAATGATTCTGAGTACTTGCCCGAATAGAAGAAATCTGAGCATCTTTATCGCAATGTTGGCGTTTATGTGTATATTTATGAGCTTCTACATTGTGACTCAAAGAAAGAAAGTTAAGGATCAATATGGCTGGACAAAGCTGTCCATGGACATCCTTGAAGATAATCCCAAGTCCGGGAATCAATTTGCAGCAAGAAAGGCTTGAAGATGCTTTTGCTTGTTGAATATATTAACAATCTACTTCTTTCTTCAGTATTTACTACTTTTGATACGATGAATAATCTTTTTTTTTTGGGTTTATTAGGTTTGTAATATTTCACAAGTGTGTTCATGTGTTGTTTATAATTATATATATGTATCTGGTATATTTATTCAATGATATTGGAGAGACTCGATATGTAATTTTCGAAATGGAAATGTTTTCTTTATGTTCATTGTTATTATTGATGTCTCTTTGTTTGATAGTTGATAACTTTATATAAGTAGTGAATAATTGATCAAACAAATAAGATGATAAATCTATACAAGGTCAAAAGCCGCGGTGATGTCATGTCCTGTCCTGGTGATGAGCAAAGAAAGAATGGTACGGTTACCGTACCGCATGATCCTCACCTCCGAATATTGCATCATAGATCTAATATAAGAAGGCCATTATATTTTCTTTTCTTTTTCACCAAAACGTTGAAATCAGAAACTAGATTAAAATATACTAAATATATATTCTCAACTAAGCAATAAAGGTTGCATGGTCCTTGGCCTCTTCCCCAAAGTCAAAATATCAACATTTACTATCTTTGTCTAATCCCCTCTAGTTCAATATTAATACATTTTTTATGTCATATAGAAAAAAACAATGAATGAAACACAACAAGATCTATGGAGAGTAGGTAATGGAGAGAGTCAGATGCCTGGACCATGCACGGGTAAGTACTTTATCAAATTCCGTACGAGTCACTCCATTATTACAACATAATATGTATTTACACATTCTCTTATATATACACATTCGTTCTCCTCTCATTCTCCACAACAACATTCGATCAAGATCAGGAGAAAGAGAGCAAGAGAGAAGAGGATATGGACAACAGCGAAAAGGTTTCAGCAACAAGCCCATCATCGGGAGATGAGTTCAAAGATGTGATTAAGGGATTGATTAAGCTCTTAATGCTGGTGATTTTCCTAGGAACCATCTTCATTTGGGTCCTTATGCCAACCCTGGTCTATCGAACCAAGTGGTTAAACCCTGTCATGCGTACCGAGTTTGGTACATCGACTTTTTTTGGTGCAATCGGTTCGTATACATCAATTAATTTCGTTGTTGCTTTTTCACATTATACAATTTCAATATGTGATGATTTTAACTTTTAACTGTTTCTGTTTGGGCGGTATTCATGCAGGCTTGACCTTTTTCATGTTCATGTTCCCTATGGTTCTCATGGCTTGTTTGGGATGTCTCTACCTTCACTTGAAGAAACTAAAGAATACTACTCATCACCTCGCTAGGTAATTCTCATCGATTTATGACTCTTTAATTCAAAACATACGTATATCTATCTTATATTCTTCGTGACAACACAAATATATGATTTCAACAGGGAGAAGATAACTGACGGGGGAGTTTTCGCAGCCATGAAAAGGCCAATGCTGGTGAAAGGGCCATTGGGGATAGTCTCAGCGACCGAGTTAATCTTGTTGGCAATGTTTGTAGCTCTTCTTCTTTGGAACTTTTTCATGTACATGCGCAATGCTTTCCCTACCATTACTCCTCAATCAGCCGCTAAACATCACCAAAAATTGTAAGCACGTTTTTCACAAATACAACTTAGTGTCATGCCAAACATGTGTATTTTAATGATTCCAACATTATATTATAGATGGCAAGCAAGGTTGGAGGCAATGGCAATAAGGATCGGGCTAGTCGGTAACTGTTGTCTAGCTTTCCTATTCATACCGGTGGTGCGTGGATCATCATTGCTTCCGGTTGTAGGGCTGACGTCAGAGTCAAGCATCAAGTACCATATTTGGCTTGGTCACATGCTCATGACCCTCTTCACCGCTCATGGTCTTTGTTTCATTGTCTATTGGGCCTCAATGCATGAAATTTCTCAGATGGTGAGTTGGGGTAAGACCGAGATGTCGAATGTTGCCGGAGAGATAACTTTGTTGTCTGGACTTGTGATGTGGGCAACCACATATCCGTCCATTAGAAGGAGATTCTTTGAAGTTTTCTTCTATAGTCACTACCTTTACATCGTATTCATGCTCTTCTACGTCCTCCACGTAGGCGTCGCCTTCTGCTTTATCACCTTCCCCGGTTTCTATATCTTCATGGTCGATCGTTTCTTGAGGTTTCTACAGTCACGTGACAATATTCGGTTGAGCTCTGCACGTGTTCTTCCGTCCGACACCGTTGAGCTCACTTTCTTCAAAAACAAAGGTGAGTCGTCTTAATCAATATCATAAGTATGATTCAAGATTCTACTCAATTTTTGAGCTACAAGCAAATGGTGTATGTTTCGTCTAGCTAAGCTCTATAAATGGACCGGTTTGGACTTGTCCTGATAGGTTATTGGCACAATATAATATCGCTAATCATATATGTGATGTTACAGGATTGGTGTATAATCCGACGAGCATATTGTTTGTGAACATACCGAGCATTTCGAAGCTGCAATGGCATCCATTTTCGATTACTTCGAGCAGTAACCTCGAAGCAGATAAGTTAAGCATTGTGATTAAGAGCGAAGGGAAATGGTCTAAGAAGCTTTACGAGATGCTTTCTTCTTCTGATCATCATATCGATAGTTCTCTCTCTGTTTCTGTCGAAGGACCATATGGTCCTACTTCAACAGATTTCCTAAGGTAATAATTGCCTGTTCAAATCTGATCAGTTTTATTTTAAAGTTAATTTCTTGTCGTTAAGTAAATTAGGATTGGGTTTTCTTCTGACACAAGTAAACTCAATGAGGGTTTTTTTTCTTCTTCCAGGCACGAGTCTTTGGTTATGGTTAGCGGAGGCAGCGGAATTACACCATTCATCTCCATAATCCGCGACTTAATCGCCATAACCCAAACAACTACATGTGAAATCCCCAAAATAACTCTGATTTGTGCATTCAAGAAGGCTTCTGATATCGCCATGCTTGACCTAATCCTCCCTACATCTGGTCTCGAATTATCAACTGACCTGAATATCCAAATTGAAGCCTTCATCACCAAAGAGAAAGAACCAAGAAACGAAGAAACACAGAAGATCAGAACCATCTGGTTCAAGCCAAATCTCTCGGACCAACCAATCTCAGCAATCCTAGGACCAAACTCATGGCTTTGCCTCGCAGCCATCCTCGCATCTTCCACACTAATCTTCATGATAATCATCGGAGTCATGACAAGATACTACATTTACCCGATCGATCAAAACAAGAACAAGTACAATGCTACTTCAAGATCAATCCTTTATCTTCTGGTCCTCTGTGTTAGCATCATGGTGACGTCAAGTGCAGCTGTATTATGGAATAAGAAGAAGTACAATGTTGAGAGCAGTAAACAGGTCCAAAACGTCGACGTACCAAGCCCAACATTTTCTCCTAGCTCATGGGCTTACAGAGAGATTGAGAGTACTCCTCAAGAGTCACTTGTTCAATGCACCAACCTCCATTTCGGTGAAAGACCAGACCTCAAGAGTAAGTATATCCCACAACGTTATACTCAAAATTTGCATGTGTATATACATAACACTCTGTAATATGACCATGTGTTTTTGTGAAAACAGAGATTCTACTTGAGACCAAAGGTTCAAGCGTGGGAGTTATGGTGTGCGGTCCGAAGAAGATGAGACAAAAAGTGGCGAAGATTTGTTCTTCTGGTTTGGCTGAGAATCTTCACTTTGAATCCATCAGTTTCAGCTGGTGATTGCCAATTTATATATAACTCTGTTTGTGTGATTGCTTCTTGTAGACTTGTCTGTTTTTCTAAAGAGTATTATTGTGGAAATGGTCCTTAAAATGTCTTACTTTTCTGTTTTTAACTTTTGTATTTCCTGATGTAACGATTTGATCCAAATCGAGGCGTGGAGCATTGTATACGTAAATTCTGAAATGAATGATTTGTTATCTATCTCCATTATGTTATTGAGTCTTGATACATATTACATACTACAGAAACAAATAAAAAATTGATTCCATTGCTTTTATTGGTTAAATAACATAATGTTTGCGTACACACATACAAACAAAGAAAGGTAATAAACGGGAAATTAGCATTACGAGTACGACCATTTCGTGCAAGAAAAAACCTTTGGTTCATATTCATAATACAATAATTAATTAGCTATCTCTATTTTAATTATTGAATATGCTATGCTTTTGCTTCAAAGGCATGTTTTTCAACAATGTGAACTCTCTTTTTTACTTTTTCTTTATATCGTCATTCTTGTTGTCCGTCACCAACCAATCAAACACCTTTTGCTCATTCACATGTTCTTCTATGATTGGTTGTTTCCCATCACAGTCAGTAGCTTTAGAATCTCTTTGACGTACGTTTCAATCTTCTTCTCTAAATCCCGCCCTCGCGTTACACGCTAACACCTAATTGTAATATACAAACGATATAAATAGTCAATTTATATCCTCTCTAAACCTTTCTTTCTCCATATTTGATCGTAAAAAATATTAATTCCTAAATTCTTTTAGATTTCTTATTCACCATTCTTTTTAAAAAGAATCATGGGATTCTCTTACGCCGGCGCCGGAGTTATCATCGTCGGAGTTATCTTGAATGATTTTATCAGAGTGGTTCGTTCTTTTCTTGATATTCGTCGTTTGTTAGGTGTTTATACGTCGGCATCTTCGGGGAGTACCATTGCCGGTATAAACAAGATTCCGATGGACGATATGCTTCCGGCGACAAAATTCGAGGAGATGTCAAGGGTTAATCCGCCGGAGAGCTGCCGGATATGCCAAGATGAGTTCGACGGCGGTGACGATGTCCGGTGTTTGAGGAATTGCGTACATGTTTATCACAAGACTTGTATTGACCGTTGGATCCAAGACGATATGATGACGTGTCCTTTGTGTAGGACCCCAGTCGTCCCTGATTTCTATTTTTTTCGTTTGTAAATTAGGAAAGCTATAAATGTTTCAAAAATCACAGATCTTTTTTTTTCCCATCAAATATAGAAATCGTTCAAAATAAAAACCAACTTTTTGTCTATTTATTTTGGTATACTTCCCATTGTTCATTTTCCATCCAAAAATTATGGTTAATAACTCTTTCTCAGAACATTTAAATATTAAAGATCAGAAAATTGGATAAACAACAAATGGAAATTTTCACCTTAATCCACGTCACATGTATATACAACAAGTAAGCAAAATAACTACAGTAAGTAGAAATCCAATTCAATATTGGGCCTTTCTTGAAGCCCACGTCCTATTTGGGTCAAAACAGTCAAGACCCAAGACATCTCTCTAGTTTTTGAATTTATTTGATGATTTGATCACATCAGAACTTTATGATAAGATTGACACCACGAGAACACACACACACACGTTGCAGTTTCAGTGGATTTACTTCATTTGACTAATAACACATTTGGTGTATTCCGCTATAAACATTATTTTTTTTGCATACAGGTTAATTTCGCTAATAATATAAAATTAATGATGTTATTTCACGCTTATAATTTGTTTCCCTAACACATTTATTGATAAAACTCTACATACGTGCCACGTAAGCGTTAGAGATACGGCCCCGTGCACCTACTTTAAATAGTAAAGCCAAAGAACGACCGTCAGATTCTCTGTATACCTCCTCCGCTTATAATCAAATCGTGGCCGTTTATTCTCTTTGACTCACGACGAGCATTAACGGTGGCCTTTTTCCGACTTCACCACCATCTCGTTGCCGCATACGATCGATCACTAATCACAATTCCAGCTCAAGTGGGGACACACGTGTTCGCCACTCTCTCGCCTGTCGCGCGTGTCTCTCACGCTCCACATTTTTTTGTTTGTTGTCCGTCCCCTTAATCACACGATCTTAAGATGTCTGATTTCACCCTTAAGTTAAAAAAACCTCGGAGGCAAAAATCCCATGTGCATGCTCAGTCAAACTCACCCCTCACGTGACACATTGCCTTCTATCACGTGATAGACGAGTACCATTTTTAGATACAACTAACCAAAATATATGTCAGATAGATTCATATAGATCATTTAGGATTTTTTTTACAGTCTTGTATGTATAATTTGAACACATTAAGGCCGTTGACAAAATTTAAAAGTAAATAGAGGTAAGACTTTTAATTTATTGACCAAAAAAAGGAGTAAAATTGTTACGGTGGGTCTTGGCACAGCCGATTTTCTTTTCCTTGGAACTTAAATTTGGTAAAATTTAGCGGCAGCTTTTCTTTTTTAATTTTTCCTACTACATCAGAGGGGTATTATAGGGAACTAAAGTAAAACCTAAGGACATTTCCGACCAATGAAAAAAACATATGGAAAATATAAGAAGGGCCGAGAAAAGCAAACAAAAAAAAAGTTTAATAAACCAGAGAAATAAAAAAAGAACCCTCCTATCGAGTTCTGTGAGATCTGCTCTAAAAAAAAAAAAACTGGTGGAGAAGAAGAGGTGAATCGAGTTATATGCTTACGTGGTGATGTAAAAATATTTATATATTCAGCGTTTTATACATCTTCTTACTTGTGTTTGGTTTCTTTTGGGCCAAAGTTTTTTTTGTGGGTAAAATGAGGATTCGGAAGAACACACAGCTGTCATCGGTTCTTTTAGCGACAGCAGGTTGCGGCGGAGAGAGACCGGAGACGTATGTGTGTCACTTAAACCAGTCTCCATGGGATGTGATTCCGGTTTCTTCCTCCGGCGATTGCGAGTTAACTAACCTACTCGACTCGTCGTGGTTCCTTCCTTTATCGTCTTCGTCTTCTTCTTCTCCGCCTCTCATTCGCAAGGTAATTCAATTCATTTCAATGTGTGATTTCATTTGGATTTTGCTTCCATGATTAATGTCCAGCATTTCTTCTATTATCCTCCGCCTCTTATTAGGGTTTTCTTTCGTTTTTTGTTATGTTCGGGGAACTTTAAAGAACCCTAAAATTATGGATTTTGAGATCCTGGGTCGTTTAATCTATCGATTAGGGTTAATGGGTCGTTATTATTTTGCCTCGTTGATTCCCATTTCGTTCTCTATCTCCGATTATTCTTTTTTTTTTTTGTTATTACAATGTTTCTGCGTTAACTCAGTTCAATGGAGAAGAAGATAGCTTCAATGGGAATGTGAGTTTGGGAGATTGTAATGGCGCTGCTCAAAGGTAATTATCCATCTTGTTCTTCACTCCAATCCACTTCCCAATTATCGACTATGTCTGCTTCCTTCGTTAGCTTCGGTGTTTTTTAGGGTTTTAGTCGTATTTTTGATAATCGGGTAATTTAATTTCGCCCGAATCGAAATGCCGGGCGACCCGGTTACAATTTTTCAATCTTTCTTTTAATCGTCTTCTAATTATCGTCCAGATTTAACAGCTCCATGAGAAGTAATCACAGTCTTGTCTCCGTCGAGAAGCTTAATCTCAATGCGGCGGAGGATAAGTACGATATATCCCCGGAAGTTGAAGACCCAATGGATCAGAGCGATAGCTATGACAAGAAATCTGAAGCTCGCGAGCCTAATTCGCCGGTCAAAACCTCCGGCGATGATGAAAAAGTGGCTGTAACAATTCCGGCGCCGCCTAAACGTGGACGGCCACGTGGTTCGGGCAAGAAAGCTTCCGCTCCCGCATTGAAGAATCCGTACGAGTTTTATTATTACTCTGGTTTCGGGCCACGGTGGGGGAGAAAAAGAGGCGGCTCCGACGACGAGAAGATGGTTATAAGCGAGAATAAAAAGAGTAGAAGTAGCACTAGTAGCAGTAGTGATGAAGAGGGTCATAAAACGGCGGCGTTTGGAGGTGGGAGTGTTAGTTTTGATGAGTTTGATTTTGTGGAAGAGGATTATAATGACGTAATGGAACAAGATCAAGAAAGTGATCATGGGAGGAAGAAAAATAAAGAGAAGATGATAATGATGAAGAAGACGATGAAGAGAGCAAGGAAGCCCGTAAAGGAAAGGTCTTTGAAATCCCTCATGTGAAATATTTTTGCCTTTTGAGGGCATTTCTGTCTTTTTCCCTTATTGTTATTGTCTGTTTTTGTTGGTAAGGGGATTTGGTCTGTTTGTTTAGTTCGGGAACATTTGTAGGAAGATTTTCTACATCTCTGTTGTATTTGGTTATATGATTGTTTTGGTTTTCAAATTATTTGCCTATCGACTTTGATGTATCTCAATGCTTATTCTTCTTAATATCATCAACATATATTTAAAGAGTCTTTAACTTCCTTAAAAAATTCACCATCCTTTAACCTAATTCTAATATGATCCTTAAAAGTGAATATTCAAAGCTTTAACATCTATAATTACACCATTAACCTTAAACAAAAATAATTTAAAGTAAAAAAATCATCAAAATCAATAAATTAGTCGATACTATTTTTCATCATTGTTTTTGTTTCTCTATGATTTCATTATGCACATTTCATTATTTTAGCGCACATTTTTTCGTTTTTACCCTGTTTTATGTGATTGTTTCTCTGGAGTTTAGTATGTATCAAATTTGAATTCAAAGTTTAGTTTTTTGCCTTATTCAAGTCATTTATTAAACCTAAAGAAAGAGTAACATGTATAATGAAAGTTTAAGATATGTCACGGTTCATTTCATTACAAACACTTAAAACAATTAAAGGGTCTCTCGTTTTTAAATTTAAATTTATATCGATTAATTGAACCGGCATATTATACTCTATTGAAGGTATTCAAATCCCATAATAGTAATATATATATATATTTCTTATTTTTAGAGATACGAATAAACTGCGATAAGAATACAATGTTTCGCGGAATAATAAACTTTAACATTCATAATTAGATCAAATGGTCTTGAAATAATTCAACATATTTATTATCATATATAAAAAGTATCGCAAATAATATTTTATGTATATCATAATCGTATATACTATAGACAGTTAGTTAAATACCATATTAAAATATCTATGTAATAGAGGAATGGAAGGGAAAAAAAGGAAAAAATATCATTTAAATCATCAATTGTTTATTTTTGTTGATTTAAATCATGAACTCTGCATCTGGTGATTAAAATGCTCAATTCCAAAAATATTTTTTAAAATAAAAAAATACTTTGATCCCTCAATTTTTTTATGTGATGACGTGGAAGTTTGAGTATCAAGAAGTAATAATAGAAAAAATATAGGCCGTTCCACTGATCGGAGATTGGTCATATTAATAGCTTGTGTTAAGACTTAAGACAGTGATAGATGTAATACCTTATGAGTAATTGTGGAAACTTAATTAATTAACGTGATTCCAAGGAGATATTTACACGTTTTAAAATAAAAATGAGAAATATCTTATACTAATAACACTAAAACAAGTTTTATGGACAATTATTAAAAAACTTTACAAATTTTCAAAATTTATTAATGAGTTTACATAATAACTATTTTAATTTACTAATTAATATTATGATTTCTAACAATTTAATTAAATACTTAAAACAACATATTATAAAAGTCTATCTTTAAACTTTCAAAGGATATTTTTTCTTTTGTCTTTTTAGTCTATGTCAACAACTCAACATGCTGTTGTAATGGCTATAGATTAGGTTGACCCGAAAATGGTTTTTTTAGCTAATCATTTTTTCATAGTAACGTGAATGGTAATACTCAATTTATTAACACCAAATACACGTTAATATTATATTATGTTCCAAAAGAGAAATCAATTACAAATCAACAATTCTCGTACAAGAATAATCGTGTATGACAAATTAAAATTCATACAAATGATAATAGTTTTTTCAAAACCATATTATATAAGGCGTAGAGAATCTCAAAGACTTGTGTTGAGCAACTCTCTATAATCTTTACGAATTCCCCACAAAATCTCACTGCATTTTTTCATGCTTGGTCTCGAACGTCTATGAGGAGCTAGACATTGAAACGCCATCTCCAATACCTTCTCTAATGCTAAGCTGTTCGCTGGATTTTGTTCTAGCTTCGGGTCCAATACCGATATCGTATCTCCACTCGTGAACTTCTTGATCGCCTGATCAAATCACGACAACTAAACGAATCAAAACACAAGTCATACTATATATACTTACTTATATAAGCTAAGATAGTATTTTAGAGTTACCCATCTAATGGTGATGCGTTCTTTTTGTCCTCTGCTAAGCTCAATGGGACGCCGACCTGTGAGAAGCTCGACGAGCAGTACACCAAACGAGTAGACGTCGCTTTTCTCCGTGAGTTGATACGTGGTTAAGTACTCTGGGTCTAGGTAACCTGCTGTTCCTTTGACTTGTGTTGAGATATGCGTGGCTCCTGATTCGGAATCTGGAGCTAATCTTGCAAACCCGAAATCAGCAACCTTGGCTCTGAAATTCTCAGTGAGGAGAATGTTTGAAGATTTGATGTCTCTGTGGATGATAGGTGGCTCTACAACACATCCAAAACAAATGAGACAAAGAACAAGTACAATTGCAAAGGAAGAACCTAAAAGAAAAAGAAGGAATCTAGCTAGGTTTACAATGGACTTACGTGTATACATGTGAAGATAGGTTATGGCATGTGCTACATCGGTTGCGATATCTAGCCGAGTCGCCATGTCGAGAGCCTTTCCTTCCTTGCCTACAAACAGATTCCATTCGAGAACACTGATTGATTTGCTTGAACTATATAATAAAAAAAGAAGATATATAGTAGAATGTATGCACTCACAATCCAAGTGATCTCTAAGAGTTCCATTGGCTACATACTCGACAATGAGAATCTTCTCGTCGTCGTGAACGACATATCCATAGTACTTAACCAAACTCAAATGCGTAACTTGAGCCAAGGTCTGAATCTCACTCATAAACTCTGCACCTTGACGGTCGTCATGCATACTCTGCAACAAGTTACAATGTTGAGATGAGTTAGTATATAGCGACAATTACTATCCATTAAAAAAACAGGACTTAGAAAGGATTCAAACCTTTTTGGCACGTTTGACAGCAAAGGTTTTGCCATCTCGGAGTTTGACCTTGTAAACAGTGCCAAAACCGCCTTGACCGATCCTGAAGGATGGAGAGAAGTTCTTGGTAGCGTCGTAGATTTCATCGAAGGTGAACTCTGTTTCGGTTGCATTTCCATAATTCCTCTGTACACTTGCTGTTGAGCTACGTCTACTACGGATATTATTGTCTGTTCACTCACATAAAGACCGACCAAATAAAATCATCATCAACTACTGTTTCCTCTAGAATCTACTGATCAAACGGTGAAATCCAGAAATTGAAGAGTTATCAGAGAGACTATACCGGAAGATGACTTTGAATGGTCGATACCGGGATCGGGAGGAGTGAAGCAGCTGATGAAGATACCGGAGATCCGACGAGCGATGGAGCTGGGTTTGTCGGTGGGAGTACGGGCAGGGGTAGGGAAGGAACGATCGGTGAAAGTAGTGTTACTGTAGTTAGAAGATGTGGTTGCAGGAGAAGATCCGCCGGCGTAGCTATGTCTCCGACGACTGGGCATCGGATATTTCGTGGAGAACGTGTAGCAATAGCGAACACGGAAGGAAGGAAGAGTCGGAGAGACTGACTTTACAATTTCAACTCTTCTTTTTTTTTCTCCGTTGATTAATTTTTCATATGACGACTGTTTTTGTGTATTTATTGACGCCAGCTGTACAACTTGACGTTCTCTAATTCACTAATTTAAACCCGACAAGCTAAGATAATTTATGCGTATAATTATTTGTAATAAGTTTCATATTCCTTTGATTTAATTTCGATAATTGTTAATTTTGACAAACAAAAAAAACGGTTGGTTTCACAATTTGTAAATAGATAAATACTCTGTATATAGTAGTATTACTTTAATTCGGTTTAAACGATTTTAAAGGACAAGCACCAAAACAGCATGTACATGGAAATTATTCGTTATTATTACATAATTTTAGTATTTAAGAACATCCACTAAATCTGTCAGTAAGTTTTTTTGATTTTTAGAATATGATATTTATTTCCAAACAAAAGATACAGCCAAAGAAAATGAGGAGGATAATTAGTTCAATGCCAGACGTAATCTATCTACCGGAATGATTTGAAATTTATCAATATCTATCTGTTAGCGATTCTTCAGCCGCCACCATATTAATAAATGCCAGACGGGTCTATACCTGTTAATGCAATAATCAAAATCGCATTTAATTTGTATTCTTTTTTTCTTTTTTAGAACAAAGATACAAAAAAAAAATATACCACTAGATTTCATTGTACTAAAAAAAAACAAATTCCCCATCTGATGATATAGATAAGAAATCAGATTAGAGGAATAATGAAATGGTAGATATAATTACTTTGATTATAAGTCAATCAATATAGGTTACGGTTAACAAGGAAGATTCAATCATCGGCAGTTGAAGCCTCTGAAAATGACAGAGGGTTTGTTGACATTTTAACACCTTCTTTATAATGGCCATGGTCTAAATGTTTAAAGCCCATGTTTCAAAACAAGAGCCCAATGATTAGCCCGTCTCTTTAACCGACGTCGGACTAGTTGTTCCGATTAAATAATACTAATATTTAAAGGTATTTAATGACAGAGACTGAGAGGAGAATATTAATTAGGCAAACTAATCAAGTGGGGTTACAGTATAATTAGACTAGAGAAAAAGAGAGCTCGCTCTGTGTCGCAACCCTCCCTCTCCACCATTTCCTCTTCTCGCTTTTCATCACCGGAGAAGGACCGCATAATCGGCGACATCTCAGGTTATCTTCGTTATTGCTTTCATCGGTTTTCGTTTTTCTTTTTTAGTCGTTTCCGCTTCTTCAATTTTAGGGTTCACGTATTTTTGTAGTTTTTGATTTTAGATGTGCTTACTCTGTTTATGTGTTAGGGATTTGGCTGAGAATCGTGTTCATGTTGTGTATATTTTTTTTTCTGTTCTCTTTATTTTTTGTTTTGTTGCTGTTTTGGGTATATATGCGATCGATCTTGTGGTAGAATTACGTATCAGAGGTGTTACCAATTTTGAAGATTATTGTCTTGTATTTGATTAAAATTTGGCTGAAATGTGAAAATGTTTTTGCTCGGGTCACTCTTTTCGTTGCTCAATCCTAAAGGTTATTTTCAGAATATATAATGTCACATTCTTGTAAAATTCAACTTTCAGCTGTTTTGGGGACACTAGACAGAGCATAAGGAACTTTCCCATACCTTTGTGTTTCTTATGGATAACTTTGGCATCTAATAATCTTTTCTCTGTCATTTTCCTTACTAACACTGTGTAATAATCACTTGTTATTGGGGTTTCTTTAGTGTACTTTGATTAATCTTGTTGCATTCAAGAAATCGTTGTTCTGACCCATAATCTTCTTCTCACAATTCACTCTCCTTTCCTGCAGTGCATCTGTAAAATGCTTCAAGGACTCTTGTTTGCAACTCTTGCTTAAATATTTTAGTTGGTGCAAATGGGAGGTTGCTGTAGTTCTTCGAGGAAGTCGCATCTTGTTGGAACACCTGTTTACTATTATGTCAGTAATCCTTTTCACCATCTTCCACTTGTGTTTCTTTGCACAACTGATTATGATTTTAGTTTTTTTTATAACAATCTCGCTTGAGAAGTCAATAGTAGACTACTAGAGGTTATGGTTAAGCTGCTATGTTTGTGAAAAATGTCACCTGAATCATCTACAGTTATTTGATTGTAACACTCTACATTCTCATGTCAAAAGGAACAAAGTTTCTATTTACTAAAAATTAGTTTGTTACGCAGTGTCCAGAATCTTTTGAAGAGCTCGGGCCTTCAGGAGCCCGGGCTGGTGTGGGATCAGCTTTCACCACAGGCCTCTTGGTTGATATAGGTTTGGAGACATCTATACCTGACACCTTTTGCGCTCCTGCTCCTCTTCCATATGATTTGCTTTTGGGGCGACCACAATGCACAGATTCTGACTCCATCAAAGGAAGGATGAGTGGAAGCAGTTTTGAAACGCTAGCGACATGTGAAGATCTTGGGGAACCAGACTGTAAAACTCAAGCCAGTTCAGTCATTCTTTCACCGAGGAAATCAGATTTCTCTAAACAGAAAGGATTGAAGATATTGGTAGATGAAGAGGAGGAATGTTGTCCTATTTGCTTTGAAGGTAAGAAATCAAGATCGTTGAATAAAGAATCTCTTTAACTCTGGTTTTATTAAAGCTAAACAGAGTCGTGGATTGCATTATGCAGATTATGATGTTGAGAATCCAAGACTAACGACAAAGTGTGAGCACGATTTTCACCTCTCTTGTCTTCTGGAGTGGATTGAAAGAAGCGATAGATGCCCAATATGTGATAAGGTGTGTTTCCTGCTTGAGCTTTCTTTGGCAGATCGATTGATTTCAAAACAATCGTCTTGATGATCAAAGAATTGCACTTTACTGTTGTTCGCTTATGGATTTAGTAGGAATTAAAGTTGGGAAATTCGTAGTTAGATCTACCATTGATGGTTGCGTAGATAGGGTTTATAAATGCACATTTTGGCAACTAACTAACATTCTGTTTTTTTTAAACACAGGAAGTTGTGTTTGATGATTGTCTGAACTAGCATCATTACTATCCCCTGGCTTGAAAGTTTAAAAGGTGTGGCGATTTGTTTGGTTAGTCTACTACATAATTAGCATACATCTATTTTGTTTCTTCCTCACACATAAGTGTTGGGTCTCCACATTTTCCACTTAGTTTTGTCGAAATGGTTATGTTCCTGCCGTTGTGCGATCATATAGAAAGTACATAACAAATGTAAATATTACCTAGCTTCTTCTTGTTCGTGTGTGATCTCGGGGTGTGATAGAGAAGAATGGACCACCGTTTCAGTATTTTGATTGTTTGCATCTCCAAAATCATGTTCACTCTTGTCTTGATCCATGATTCTATCTTAAGCATGAAGCATGATTGGGTAAACCGTAAATTCCCTGATCTGGGAATCATAATAACTCTTTCATTTGTTATTTTTACCAAACATATTATTATGTTGTTTTAATAGAACACCATAAAAATGATCATTATTAGCGTTCACAGTGTTCGTAGATGAGAGTAGTATTTGAATATCCTCTTTGTTTTAAAGAAAAGAGAGAGATTCAATTAGATTTGGATATAGAATAATTCCATAGTGTAAAGAGAAAATGAATATTTACGGGGGGAAAAAAAAATGAATATTCCAAATACTAAAATTGATCCACATGCGACTAGTCTTGTCGTGTGTACGATATATATTAAAAAAAAGTGATTCTTTGATAACCCCTTTTGTCTGCTGCATAAAATAATTAATTAGAAATAATCAAAAAAGAAGAAGTTAGGAATCGTCATTTAAGAAGAAGAGAAAAAGATGTCACTGCTTTGACTTCTAGACACTTATGTCTGCCACCGCCCTTTCTCCATTCTTCTTAATTCCTATTCTGCCCTTCCCTTATATTATTCATAGACCTTCGTTGTTTTTACCTAAAATAGAAAATATTATTTGAACAAAAACATTTGATTTGCTTAAATAATTCTAAAAAGACTGTCTTATAACTAATTCAAATGAACATGTTTATTGTAATATTGTATTGTTAGCGATCAAAGCTTTGTAGTTAAAGCAATGAAGATTTTGTTTATGTGGACCTGCCGGTGGCTTTTTTAATAGTGGGGGTTAATATAGTAACTTTGGCGTAGGGACTATAGTTCCAAAACCTTTTTTGAGTGAATTTACTTTTTGGAGATCATTTGTCACAGCTTTTACAGAATTATCTTGCAAAAATTCTCTCCACATTTCAAAGAAAGAGAGCTTTTGTTTTTGGAGGTTTCTTTCCAATGGCTATCAGTATCACCACCGAGAAAATATCATCAACAACACCAGCCAAACACTAACCCACCCGAGAACAAGAACAAGACCCAATGCCATCATGTATTACTTATCTTCCTCTTCTTCTTCTCCTCTTCCTTCTTCCTCCACTATCTTCTTCTGTGGAAACACACAAAGTTATCATCAAAGGAAACCATACGATTCTCAGCTTCAAATCTATTTTCCGGCTTGGATTCTTCAGCACCACCAATGGTTCCTCCAATTGGTATTTGGGTATCTCTTATGCTTCCATGCCTACTCCCACCCACGTTGGGTCGCCAATCGAATCCGACCCGTTTCCGATCCTGACTCCTCCACACTCGAGCTCACCTCCACCGGACACCTAATCGTCAGAAACTCCCGTGACGGCGTCGTTTGGCAGACGGATAACAAAGAACCCGGAACCGATTTCCGGTTCTCTGAAACCGGGAATCTGATTTTGATCAACGACGACGGCTCTCCGGTTGGCAGAGCTTTGATAACCCGACCGACACGTGGCTTCCGGGGATGAATGTCACCGGTCTAACGGCTATGACTTCGTGGCGGACTCTGTTCGATCCTTCGCCGGGATTTTACTCCCTCAGACTGAGTCCAGGCTTCAACGAGTTCCAGCTTGTTTACAAGGGAGCCACACCGTATTGGTCCACCGGAAATTGGACCGGAGAAGCCTTCGTCGGCGTTCCGGAGATGACTATTCCGTACATCTACAGGTTCCATTTCGTTAACCCTTACACTCCCTCGGCGTCGTTTTGGTACATCGTCCCACCGTTGGACGCCGTTTCCGAGCCACGCCTGACGCGGTTCATGGTCGGCGCCAACGGCCAGCTGAAGCAGTACACTTGGGACCCACAGACGCAGAGCTGGAACATGTTCTGGTTGCAGCCGGAGGGTCCGTGCCGCGTTTACAGTCTCTGTGGTCAATTAGGGTTTTGCAGCAGCCAATTGCTCAAGCCCTGTGCCTGCATCCGCGGTTTCCGGCCTAAGAACGACGACGCGTGGAGATCTGATGATTACAAGCGACGGATGCCGCCGTGAAAATGGTGATTCCGGCGAAAGAGTGATACTTTGAGGCGGTTGGTGATCTGCGGTACGACGGCGATGTGAAGATGACGCGGTTGCAGGTAAGCAAGAGCTCTTGCGCCAAAACCTGCTTGGGAAACTCGTCTTGTATTGGTTTTTATCATAACGAGAACTCCAATCTCTGCAAAATTCTACTCGAGTCGCCAATAAACCTGAAGAATTCGAGCTCCTGGACTGGAATTAGTAACGACGTATTGTATATCAGAGAACCAAAAAAAGGGAATTCAAAGGGAAACATCTCTAAATCCATAATTATATTGTGCAGCGTTGTTGGGTCAATCTCAGTTCTTGGGATTACATTGTTGGTGCCATTGATTCTGTTGAAGAGGAGTCGAAAAGAGGAAGAAGACGAGGAAACAGACGAAGATGGGTTTGCTGTGTTGAATTTGAAGGTCCTTTCTTTCAAGGAGCTTCAAACAGCTACAATGAGTTCTCGGATAAGGTCGGACACGGTGGTTTTGGGGCGGTTTTCAAAGGAACATGTACCTGGTTCTTCTACCTTTGTGGCCGTTAAACGCGTGGAAAGACCTGGAAGTGGGGAGAGCGAGTTCCGGGCAGAGGTATGTACCATTGGCAACATCCAACATGTCAATCTCGTTAGGCTTCGGGTTTCTGTTAGAGAATCTTCATAGACTTCTTGTCTACGATTACATGCCACAAGGATCCCTGAGCACCTATTTGTCTAGAACAAGCCCCAAATTGCTAAGCTGGGAGACCCGTTTCAGGATCGCGTTAGGTACTGCCAAAGGGATCGCGTACCTGCATGAAGGATGCAGGGACTGTATTATTCATGTGATATCAAGCCGGAGAACATTCTTTTGGACAGTGATTTCAACGCCAAAGTATCTGATTTTGGCTTGGCTAAGCTCCTTGGCCGTGACTTCAGCCGAGTTCTAGCCACAATGAGAGGGACATGGGGCTACGTGGCTCCCGAATGGATATCTGGTTTGCCCATCACAACAAAAGCTGATGTGTATAGCTTTGGAATGACATTGCTCGAGCTGATCGGTGGTCGAAGAAATGTTATTGTTAATAGCGATACACTGGGAGAGAAAGAGACAGAACCAGAGAAATGGTATTTAAAGAATGTCTTTATTCGAATTAATTGTGAGGGAGAAAAACATACGTACGTTGAATCAATGTTTCCCTTTTCAGGTTCTTTCCACCATGGGCAGCTCGTGAAATCATACAAGGAAATGTGGACTCTGTGGTCGACTCTAGACTCAACCGAGAATATAACATTGAAGAGGTGACAGGATGGCAACGTGGCGATATGGTGCATACAAGACAATGAAGAGATAAGGCCAGCGATGGGAATGGTGTGAAGATGCTTGAAGGAGTTGTGGAGGTGACGGTTCCTCCACCGCCTAAATTGATTCAAGCTCTTGTCTCCGGCGATTCATACCGAGGAGTGAGTGGCACAACCTGTAGCGAAAGTCGTGGCTGTTCGGATCTCAACACTGGATTGTCTAGCCCTGGCTCACGGTCGTCTTTTGGTAGACCTTCTCCTTGATCAATTTAAGATGATTTGGTCAAAACCGGCCTTAAATGTTTAAGTTTTGCTCTCTAAGAGGGTTTAATTAGTTTAAACTGTATTTGTTGGTTTATGAGATTGAAACCTTAATTTCTTATTTCCCATTAAAAAAGGGATGAGCGTTAGTCCAGCATACATGAGTCACATGACCAAGATTTTAACTCACTCATTACTAATCGTGTTTCCAATATAATCAAAGTCAGTGAATGAATTATTGTCAAATGTAAACTTTTTACTCGGCATCTCAATCTTAATGGACCCATTAACCCAGCTACTACTTGACTTAATCGACCGTCAACAGTTTAAACCATGGATTATGTCTTTATCCTAGTTTGAAAGTTCTTTGTCACGTTGATAATCTTCTAATGGCATATTTGTAAATTCTTGTAGAATTCCATGAGAATCACTTACGTACGTGATTGTAATCAATAAACCCGTGTCTTTTAACTATATTAACGGTCACAATTACTCAAAATCTTTTTTTAAACGAATGCTAGATTCTCTCTTCTTCTTCTCCACGGCTAACCTAAATCTTAGGCAAACCAGAAAAAGAAAATTACAAGAACAAACATAAAAAAAGAATCTGTTGTCTTGTTTGCTTTCAATCCTCATGTCTCTAATCCTCCCCACGTAGAGAAATAAAAAATAAGATAAAGATTGCCACAACCGGAGAAAATGGAAATCCCGGTTCGAGAGGAGAGAAGATCCTCATCCTCTGCCGGACCATTACCACAAACCATCGCCTTAGCAGCTGATGACGCCATCGATAGCGGTCCTTCCTCTCCGCTTCTCGTCAAAGTCTCTGTCTTCGAAACAGAGCATGAGACGACAAAGCTTCATCACGCGCCGTCAACTCTGCTCGGAGAAACCACCGGACGCCGATTTTCCTCCGATTCAAAGCTTTAGAGATGCTAAACTTGTCTGTGTGATCGAAACGTCCAAGCTTTGGGAAATTGCTGCACCAATAGCTTTCAATATTCTTTGCAATTACGGTGTCAACTCCTTCACAAGCATCTTCGTCGGCCATATCGGCGATCTTGAGCTCTCAGCCGTCGCCATCGCTCTCTCCGTCGTCTCCAATTTCTCTTTGGTTTCTTGGTGATTAAGTAACCTTATCCTCTGCTTTTCCCTCCTCTGTTTTTTTGTGTTTTCTCTAACTTTCAAGGAAAAACTGCAGCTGGGAATGGCGAGTGCGTTGGAAACTCTATGCGGGCAAGCGTTTGGAGCGGGACAAATGGATATGTTAGGCGTTTATATGCAGCGTTCATGGCTTATCCTCCTGGGAACTTCCATCTGCTTGCTTCCACTATACATCTACGCAACTCCTCTTCTCATTTTACTAGGCCAAGAACCGGAAATTGCAGAGATCTCTGGCAGATTTACAACACAAATCATCCCTCAAATGTTTGCGCTCGCCATCAATTTCCCAACTCAGAAGTTTCTCCAGTCACAGAGCAAAGTCGGGATCATGGCCTGGATCGGTTTCTTTGCTTTGACTCTTCACATTTTCATCCTCTACCTCTTTATAAACGTTTTCAAGTGGGGGCTAAACGGTGCAGCGGCTGCGTTTGATGTCTCGCTTGGGGAATCGCGATCGCGCAGGTCGTTTATGTTGTAGGTTGGTGTAAAGACGGTTGGCGAGGGCTGTCTTGGCTAGCGTTTAAAGACGTTTGGCCGTTTCTGAAACTGTCTTTTGCGTCTGCGGTTATGCTTTGTCTTGAGATATGGTACTTCATGACGATCATTGTCTTAACCGGACATCTTGAAGACCCTGTCATAGCCGTTGGATCTCTCTCAATCTGGTTAACCGTTAGATCCCTTCACATCAAAGATTTACATTTTTTCTGATTGCTAAACACTTTTCTTTCTCAGTATGAACATTAATGGATGGGAAGGAATGTTGTTCATAGGAATCAATGCAGCTATAAGGTAAAAGACCAAAGCAATATTTTCTTTCTAAGAGAAGGCGATAGATTTATATGCGATATGTTTCTTCAGTGTTAGGGTGTCGAATGAGCTAGGATCGGGACATCCACGAGCTGCGAAATACTCGGTGATCGTAACGGTGATAGAGTCACTCATCATTGGAGTAGTGTGTGCAATAGTAATTCTCATAACAAGATGACTTTGCTGTGATTTTTACGGAGAGCGAAGAGATGAGAAAGGCAGTAGCTGATCTTGCGTACCTTCTCGGTATAAACGATGATTCTCAACAGTTTACAACCGGTTATATCAGGTAATTTTTAATTAAGATTTATTATATGTGAAGAAAGCTGAATTTTTGGTGAATGAAGTGAAGATGTTGTGGACTGAGCAGGTGTGCAGTAGGAGGAGGATGGCAAGCACCGGTGGCTTATATCAACTTGTTTTGTTACTACGCTTTCGGTTTACCTCTAGGGTTTTTGCTAGGCTATAAAACAAGACTTGGCGTACAGGTAAAAAAAACATACACACACTCCTAACCACCGGTCTACTTTTTTTGATGCGGTTATGATGAAATTATTTTGTACTATGGTTTAATAAAAATATCAGGGGATATGGATTGGTATGATATGTGGGACTAGTCTTCAGACTCTCATCCTTTTGTACATGATTACATAACCAATTGGAACAAAGAGGTATTTTACAATCACACAATGAAGAAATGATATAAATGTTTTACTATTTACTCTCTTTACCCCCTTAAATTTCAGGTGGAACAAGCTTCGAAGAGAATGAAACAATGGGGAGCTGGATACGAGGAATTAGAAAAATAGCAACTTAATTTTTTTGGGGGAAATATATATATATATATAAAGTTAACTTTGCTTATGTAATATACCTATATTTTTTCTTAATTGTATATATCAATTTCTTTGACAGCGAATTTGTATATATCAAATTTTTAATTTTTCAATACATAAGTAAATTAAAAAAAAAATACATAAGTAAATTTACCGTTATCAAATGATTTTTCTTAATTGAGGAATATAAGTCAATCACGAGTCAGTCATTCTTTCCTTGTCATAATCATATCCAAAATTCCAATCATAATTTTATATTTTTTACTACTACGGCCCGTCAAACAATGAGGTCGTCGGCAGTAAATGGAATGTCTACCCATTTCCCGGTTATCGGCGTTGCTTTACAGAGTATTGATTTTGATGTGTTTCAGGCCTATATTGGGTAATAAGTTGTGCATAACTGCTTTGTGCTTATGTCCAATTTTAAATTGGATTTCTCTAACATTTACTTTGTGGTCTTATGCAGCTCTGTAATTCCAACATGCATTGTGATGCAGTTTCTTTTTCTTCTAAAGAAAGTCAACAACTTTCTGCCTTAAGAGATTGATGCTGAAGTTAAATCTAAACGTAGGTGTTCGTAACTTGTCCAAAATGGTCCACAATGACAGGAGTAGAAATCAAGAGAATCAGCTCCCTCTCGGGTGCTCACAAGATTATGTGCCCTTTTGACATAATGCTTGCAATTGACAGCATTGCCATAGGAAAAGATGGGAGATGTAATGATACTAATCTTTCTCTAAATGTTCTTCATATATGTTAACTTATCTTTTTGATGCAGTTCCTTTTCGAAGAGAAGAGCGTATTGATTTCTGATACCTAGCTTCTTTTAAGAAACCAGAAATCTTTGTTGATTTAAATTTCTAAGAAGCGGAGAAGTGCATGAGTGCGATGTCATGTTAAAGCCGATGTTTGACTTTTCTACACATTTTTTAATTATTATCTTTTATACATTTTGCCATCTGTATAAATTGTTTACTTTGTTATACATTTTTTTATTTATTCTAATATCAGGTGACACCACATCGAGGTGCAAAAAAAGTTCAACCGTCCTTAGAGGTTTAGTTTTTGTGTCTTTCAAGCAAGGCTTACATTAACGATGTTGGTGATGAACTCTCTGTGTGTGCTCTTTATGTACAATTGAAACTGAGGCAAAGGAATGTGTGTTCTCTTATGTACAACTGAAACCGAGGCAAAGGAATTAGAGGCTGGAGAGCTGGTCATGCTTTCTAAGGTATGTTATTTTTTTACCTTCAAGCGTTCTAAATGGTTTTCTCCTTTGACACTATGGATTGTTAGCCTAAAAGTAAGTTTTGTTTCTTGATATAGGTATTGAGACATGACACCAACCGTTATTACGAACACTTGGAACATCTTCATGTAACTCTTAATGTTGTACTTGTTTTTGAGCCTTTAACCAAACATTTTTTTAGTGTTTTGAGAAGAAATTATATTTGCTTGGAACAAGTATACACAGTGAATGGAGTAAAAGTGAACAGCTTGAAGCATCTTGTTGAGCTCAGACCACATACAATGGTCAGTTGAAAAAAAAAATCAACAGTTTAATCACTATAACGAGAGAGTTGAAATTAAAGAAGAGTACACATGGTAAATAATGTGTTGAATAAAAAAATATGGGTCATGCGCTGCCACATGTCAGCGTATGAGAGGATCAAATTTCTGTGTGTGGTCCACGCACATAAAGAAAATAAATTTGCTGATTTTTATTTGTCCTAATAATTTGATCGCAATTATTTGATAGAAATCTACTTTAAAATAAATAAATTTTTTATCAAAATTCAGCATTTTAATGATTTATAAATAGAGTAGTCTCATTTCATTGGGCTCAGAGAAAAAACGCCATTATCTGTAGAATTTTTCAATTATATACCAATCATCTATTTTTATTCATTAAACACTTTTTTTTGTTTAATGGATCCCAACTATTTTTATTCAAAATTTTCGTAATTTTATTTGTTTTATAATGATTACCTTTTGTTTTTATTATTTGCAAAAGAAAATTATTTATTTATTTATTTTTATATTATTTTAATTTATTTTTAATCGATAATTGTTATTAATATGTCATTAGAAAACAATAAAAAATGAAATTAAAATATGGTGGGTAAGGAGTTGAATTTTATTGAACAAAACTATTGTAGATGATAAAAGTTGAATGAGTGTTGAGTATTAGGTGGAAAAGAAAAATGATATGGAGTGTTAAAAAATAAAAAACATGGTGTTGAATGTTGAAACCATTGTGGATGGCCTCATAGAGCAATGTTGCATAGAGTATCTGACTTTGGATTTACAAGGTGGAGAAGTTGTTGAACTCCATTATTTTCTGCCAAAGAAGCAACCTCTGATCATGAAACTCTATAGAATTTTCTATTCCAAATCGAAGAACCTCAGTGACTAGTTTTGTCAACTTGGAATATTTGGTCAATTCATGTGATTAGGCATTATTTTGTCAACTTTTCTGTTTAGGCATTGACTATTTTGTCAAGTACGTTAGTCAATACTTAATTTATCATACTGAAATTGATTTTGTGCCGTGAAGTGTAAGCAAAGAATACTTCATTAGGTCCAAAAATAGCAAAGCAATTTAAATCAGAGATTGCCTTTCTAACTAATAAGAGATTGGAAGTAAATGTTGGTATGTAAAAGCATTTGGATTTCTTATCGAACAACTTCAAATCACCTATCCCTTTAATTGAAACCTTTTCTCCATTTGCTATAACCACATTTTGAAAGGTAGGTTCTATGTTGCTAATCAAGTTTTCATCACTAATCATATGGTGAGAAGCACCTGAATCAACAATCAAAGGCCTATTGTGATTAAGAGCTTGGAAAGAGTTACTAGATGAGTCTTTTAGGGCCTTGATGAGGACATCCAGATCAGACCTCCTCACGAACTGAGAAGCTGCTGTCACTCATGGCTGCTCCCTCCTTCTCCTCAGTAGCTTTCACTCGCTTGGTTTGAGATGAGGATGGAGAATCCAACACTTGTCCTTGCTATATCCTCTCTTCTTGCAATGATCGCAGACCCACGCATTCTTGTCCTCATTTCTGTAGGCTTTGTTGGCCGCCATAAACTCTCCTTTGTTTGCTGTGATGAGCTCTCCCTTGACTTCTTTTAGGCTTGGTAACTTGTCTTGTCTGCTCTGTTTTTGGCCTTTTGAATTTGGTCTGTAACTCAGGCAGAAACCGGTTCTGTTAATTACTTTATTTTGTATTTCACTGTTGCCTAATGTAAAGTAGCAGAAAATTGGATGTCAACTATATTTATATAGATTTAATCATTTTATCAAAAATCAAATTAATTCGCCAGACGATCAAAACCCCACGACCACAAGGTATTTAATCCCAAAAGGCCCATTTTAAGCAAAATAGGTAGAGTGGAGCTGTTAACAAAGGTCGCGGGTGTGTGGACATTCATGCATAGAGCTTATTCGTACAGTGCTTTGATTATGACTCTATTTGAGTCCAAAGCACCTGATTCAGAAGTGAGCTATTTGTTTGATGAGATGAAGGCTGATGGTGTTTCCCCTGTTGGATTAACTTACGCAATCCTTATAAATGGCTTTTGTGAAAGAAATAAAGTGGAGAAAGCTCTGTTGCTTCTTGAGGAGATGGATGAGGAAGACCTTCCAACTTCTCCAGCGTGTTACAGATTCATAAAGTCGATAAGAAACCAGGCAGGAAATGAGCTATCTAAGGAAGAAGAAGAGAATTTCCGAATTGTAAGTTGTCGAGTTTATTCGGTCATGATCAAACATTTTGGGAAGCGTGGAAAGCTCATGGATCTCTTCAATGAGATGATGAAGCAGGAGGACCAAGAAGAAAGTGCTCTTGATGTCTACGCTTACAATGCGCTTATGTCAGGGATGGTGAAGGCTGGTATGATAGATGAAGCTAATTTGTTGCTTAGAAAGATGGAAGAGAAGGGCTGCATCGCGGATGTGAATTCGCATAATATCATCTTGAATGGGTTTGCTAGAACAGGTGTGCCAGAGCGGGCTATAGAACTGTTTGAAACGATGAAGCATTCCGGGGTTAAGCCTGACGGTATAACTTACAATACTCTTCTTGGATGTTTCGCACATGCTGGAATGTTTAAGGAGGCTGCAAGAATGATGAGAGAGATGAAAGATGAAGGCTTTGTGTATGATGCCATCACTTACTCATCTATACTTGAAGCTGACGGCAATGTGGATCAAAATCTTTTGCAGCAAATGGTGGGTTTTGTTCATCTTCTTAGGCTTATGATGAGTTACATCGATCTTTATATACTTTTTCTTATGTGTGTTTACAGCAATCCAGGTTCCAGACAATGTTGGACTCCTTCATCACAAAGAATATCCTTTCTCTATTAGTCTAATAGCAGGAAAGTTGGTTCTATTAGGATATACGTTGAAATTATGATCATATATCTGAGAGAGTTGTATATAGAATTTACCATCATCTGTGGATTTTGGATCAACAATTCATTTACATAACCTGTGTAATCTCCTTGACTTTGTATTGGTTTCACTAGATGACGACATGGGATGCAGGATCAATGAGCACGAGCACGAGCAAAGCATCGATGAGATTGGTGTACAAGGCACTCCTACTCCTTCCGCCTCTAAATCAGACGATGAACCTAATTAAGACACCCGCTGGTTCCAGTTAAAAAGGGGTTCATGCTCAAGTTATTATCAAGCCTGGCTTGTTCAATATCTAATTATGTTTTGTTAATCTATATTATACTATTGAGTTTTAAACATGATGGTTTTTTTTTTCTTCTGTAAGACTATAATTTATGTATCCACCTTGCTTATCCACTTAACTTTGAAAAAAAAGTATTTGTTAATCTTTTAACTACATTTTATTGCGTTTTTAAAACAAAATTTTTTGATGCAGAGAGCTAAGTTACACAAAAGAATTGGGGATTCGGCTATGAGTGATTTCCTTACTAGTAATCGATGTAAGGATACCGAGTAACCAAAATTTATATCACTCAAACATTAAGTGATCTAAACCGACTACGCTTTCAACTCTAGGAAAGAATCTAGCACTCTTTCTCACAAGTGAAAGACAATATGGATTAAGCAAAGAAAGTAAATTAAAAGGAAGAACAATGAAGTCTAAAATAAATGGATACCCCTTATTGGGCCGAGTCCAACAAATCGTTTCCGATTACTCGGTTTATTCATGGTTCTTATTAAGTTAACCGGATGGTACTAAATCACACACCAACATATATCATCAAATTTAATTTGTCATACATTTGTAAATTTACTCTTTATCAAATGATTTACAAAATGAACTAAAATTCAGGAAAAAAACAATCACGAGTCAATCAATATTTTCCTTCTCGTAATCCTTATCTTTTACCTACTAGGGCCGGTCAAATAGCAAGGTCGTCGGGAGTAAATGAAACCGGGCTACTAATTTCCCGGTTATCGTCTTGCTTCCCAGAGAACAACTCTTTATTATTATAAAATAAAAGAAATTCTCTTGGTAAATTTCATTTGCAGCGTAATCGAGGCGGTTTTTGGTTGCAATCGTCGTCTCATCACCATCACCATCACCATCACCATCATCTTCGTCTTCTTCTTCGTCGGCACATACTTTGTCCTCCATAATTGATCTTATCGCAACAGATCTCTCATCTCCTTCACTTGACTGTGTAAGTATATCCGATTCTTTCGTCTTCCTTGGAATTGTCTCCGTCAACGATTGATCCTTTTATTCAGATCGCTCTGTTTCATCTAGTCTGGGTTTCAATTTCGTGGTTTAAGTGTATTGGAATATATGTTGCTTTGATTGGGCGGTTTTCTTTTTGCAAATTCATCACCACCTCCTGATGATCCATGGTTAGATCAACAAATATAGTGTCTGAGTTTCAGAAACGAATATGTTGATAAATAAATTTGATCTTCTATGGCATATTCATTAGATATCTCAGGACACCATTTTTACTTAGCTTCTTTCACTAAGTGTTTGCTTATTATATCTGATGGGAATGAACATATATAGGTTTTTGTTATTGGATCAGCTAATACTATTATTCTTGTTTTTTAGTTTGTTGTAGTGATATAATTAACAGGCGTTCCCCTTGAAAAATGGCTGACAAAGATGAAGCAGCTACGCGTGGAAATGATTGGGAAGTTGTTTCTCTTACTGCTTCAGCTTACGCTGCTTCTCCTGGTCCTAAACCAGTTGTTGACTTGAAAGATGATGGTCACAAGGATGTTGTTACTCCTTGTTACGAAGCTGAGACATCTCATCCTTTATACATGTCTCGCCACTTTGTTTTCCCACCAAGTGGTCAGCTTGAACCTCCTCCTACTAGTGAGCTAATCGAGGCTAGCAAGAAGATGGATTTTGGATTTGAAACCGGGACTCATTGCAAGGAAGAAGGTGATTTGACTCTCAAAGGGTTGGATTTATCTGATGATTTTGGAGGACTTGAGTTTTTCGACGAGAAAGGCAACAAAGATGAAAACATTTACACGACAGCTATGACTACTTCTCTGGACGATGAAAGAGCTATTGGTGGGTCACACGTGTATGAACTGAACGAACCTGTTCAAGAACTGACCGAGCCAGTCGCTCCATCTGATGTTACACCTGATCTGAATCCTACTAAAGATGATGATAAGCATGAGGTAGCAAACGTGCCTCCTTGCGAAGAAGCCTGGTGGAAAAGAAGCGCTGCGTCTTTGATTGCACAAGCAAAAGAAACTAACACTGTTTGGTCCATCTGCATAGCTGCAGCTGTAATGGGAATTGTGATTCTTGGCCAACATTGGCAACAGGAGAGGTGGCAGACTTTGCAGCAAAGGTGGGAATCAAGCATTGGAAACGAGGTATAGGACAACCATTTTTTGAACCTCCATGATTAAAACGTATATATCAAACTAATAAACACTCTTTCGACGCAGAAAGCTGGAAGATTAATGGGCCCGATCTCTCGACTGAAACAAGCATTTGTCGGGGGACAGCGGCGGGATTCATTCATCCGAGGCAGCTCCCAAAACGACCGTTAAAAAAAGAGAAGAAAGGTGATTTACTTTGATGATGACGATAAGAACAAGAGTAGCTCTTTGGGGTCGAAAAACATGGATGGAATGGTTAAAGTCTGGTGTGTGAATGTTTGGTACTTTTACTTCAGGTCATGGTTTGTGAGTATGCCCGTTTTTTTGTACATATTTCTTTGGTGTGAAAAAATCATTTACCCATTTCATTATTCCAATGCCTGTTATGTTTGGTTACATATAGTGTGTTAAAATAATCGATCCGATTTGCAGGTCAAATTCAAAACTTTATAATTTCATAGGTGAAGGAAATTTTCTCCATATAGCAACATTTACATGATATTCGAAAATTTTCTGTTAACATAAAATAAATTAAAAATTATCATGAAATTTAATTCATTTTTAAAGACGAAAATTTGATAAAGTATTAAATGGCACAATTGAATTTTTATTTGGTAGAACATTTTTATTTCAATAGTAGAAACTAAGAATTCCAAAAAAATTAGTTAGAAAGACAACAACATTGAAGGGTGTCTACACTAGGATTAGGAATACACAAAGCACGACTAGGTTTGCCTCCACAAGTCGCGATACAATCATCTTTCATTCGGCATGGTCCTTTGAATTCACATTCTGGAAAGTTATCATCCATAACTCCTGTTCGATCATTTTACAAAATTATCACCATCGTCATCATAATTCTCTGTTAGTAATTTATAAACTAAATATAACAATCACATAGTCATTAATTTATATGGGTATAATGTTAGTTCTATATATAAACAAAATAAAGATAGGAAAATAAATCTTACGAGTGGATTGTGCACTGTTAGCAAGGAGTGAAACAATGATCATGAAAACAACTAAGTGAAGCTTTGAGTTTTGCGACGCCATTTTTATGTAAAAAAATAATCTTGTGTATAAGATATCTTTCTCCACAACTCTATGAAAAAAAACTAAACTAAACGAAGAGCTACTAAATAGATGAATATCCAAATTAAGCAACCAAATTTTATTTTATAGAAATGTTTTATGATTGATTTTGTTCTTTATGAAGTTTTCTTTTTGTGAGAAAACAATCATAGATATACGTATCAATCACAATTATTTTCCTTCATCAACCGTATCAACCACATTGAATGTGTGTGTATACTATACTATGCTTTTGGGAAAATGCCATATATACATATACGATATAACTTTTAATCTCCACATAAGTACATGACCTATTCAAAACTTCTATAAACAATATTCATTTTTGATCGTTAAGTTGTCAAAGAAAGTTCGAAGATCTAAATCGATGATACATAGTTTACAAAAAATAATGTCAAACTTTTTTTTTTTCTTAGCAAAAAAAAAAAAAAAATGTCAAACTTTTGCATTTTGTGTTGCCTTTTAAATCTTTAGCCAGAAATATTATTGTATGGTTAAATGAAAATGAGATCGATTTGTAATTTCTTTAAAAAAAAAAACTTAAGATGATATGAAATAAGATAAAGCAAAAAAAAAAAGTAAAATTCTGCCTAGAAGGAGACCAAACTCATTCCTGATTTTCTAAACAAACCACATACATGGAAAGCTTCTGCATCATCTCTTGATCCGTGGTAACTCAAAAATCTACAGAAAAAATATAGCCCAAATTAAACTTGAATAAAGCGAACTAGATGAAGAAACATTTAGTGCTGACATTTTGGTGATAAGATCCATGACTATAGAGCCGGAGGAATTTTTTTAACTTATAGTGTTACTTAGCTTTGGGTGTCTCAAGACTGGCCTGTCACTCGGATTGTCAAGAACTCAATGCCGATGGCCATGACCCATGATAATGAATTGGAAGGCTTTCTATCGGATATCTATTCGCTTAAGGTTTGTTTTGTTTCAATTTTGTTTCATTTTGTTCCTCGTTCGAAAACTCTGAGGTTGTTGCTTTGGCTAAAGCTGGTCTGTTAGGTTGTATCGACTCCTCCTTTGATGGAGTTTGAGATTGAATGAATTTAAGGTTTACAAAACAAAAAGAAGGTTACTAATTAATTCTGTTTTGTTGTAAAGCACCATCAAAGTTCATGAGCCTACATGGTAAATATAATGTTTTGAATGTTCCATGCTTGGATTTTTATGGGATTAAGATTCGGACTCCATCCTCCATTAGTCAATTGGAGAACATCATCCGAATGTTTCAATCGATTTCCTAATTCACCTTATCTCTCTTTGATAAAAGTTGTACAGATATTGAGGCCACAAATAAATTTGAACTTAACTTTTGTATGCTTCATTCTTTGGTCTCCGGAATGATTTACATATCTTCAGTTTTCATCTCCACTATTGTGCACTATCAGTCTACCACACCAATTGAATTGAAGTTTAGAAAAAAAAACTATGTGTCACCAAAAATAAGTCAACTACGATATTAAATGCTTTAGCAAAAAGTAGGTTGGCAAGTAATTAACACCGGCAAATTAAATACACAATCACAATTCATCATTTGTATATGATTTTTTAAAAATATACTCCTATTCTTTTGTCTATTTTTCTATATTATTAATTTTTCCGCCACATTTCTAGTTGTTTTTATGATATATAAATCTGAAATCTCTAATCAACACTCAAATATCACTATTTAAAACTAACTATCGAAACTTAGGTCTGATAATACCTTATGATCAACCATGATTGAAATCAAGTAGAAAAACTTGAACCATGATCTTCTAGTTCATTTTAGTTGTTTCACTTTAAATGCATTTTGCATCTTGAGGGTTTGGCAAGCCATCTATTCTACAAGCTATCTGACATCTACAGTTTTTTTTTCATCTACAGTTGTGTTCCATTTGTTACAATTATTAACATGTTGTTTGTTTTTGGCAAATTAAGAGTCATCAGTGTGTATACGAAAATATTTTTTAGTTTGAATTTAAGAATGCAGTTACACTAACCATTCTTCAAAAATGAATGCAGTTATTCTGAGCTACCAAATATATATCTACTAGCAAATATGAAACTACCTACGTTGTGTAACATTTTTCTCCCCTCTTTCTTTGGATACAAGATAAACATTTTTCTCTTCTCATGCTTTAAACAGAAAATATTCTACGAAATTCAAATTTAAGTCATTTTATAAGAACTATACATTTTTACTCCGATAGTTAATTCTTTGAAGGATTTTCGACCACTAACTCGAACTGAAATGTAATTTATGCAAAATGCAGTTTAGAAGTCTGCAAAAGATATCCATCTCATAAGAAAAATAATCTAAGTGTCTTGATACAATGCATATAGAAACTAACAAATAATCTAAGAAATTGTATTTTTGAGCGTATACAATTCTTATGTTGTATAAATACAGCGGAAACTGCAAATTTAAGAGTTCATGTTTATAATATGAAGCGTATATATATATATATATATATATACATAGATTTACTAATGTAATAAAATAAGAACAGGTGAAAAGGGGGACACGATCACAAGGTTTTTGCATTCAGTGCCTTTACAGAGTTATATATTTGATGATGTTATTGCTCTACGTGTGGTGATTTATGGCTGCCTACTTTTACTTGCCTTATAGTACTATATATGTAATGTAACACATATATATGTCACATATATATTATGTGTACTTCTATCATATATTTATGATGATATGCAGCAGAGTACACAAAGTCAGCTCCCTTTGACTTTTATATCTCATGAATGCATGCCATGACATCTAATCTTACTCGAGATTTGTGCATGCACATTATTCACTTTTGTCTTTTGCAATTTTTGGTATCGTTAAAAAAATAAAAAAATAAAAATGTAATAGAGAGACCAGAAAGGTCTATCTAAACTAAAGACACAATGAAATGTGTTTCTTTCTTGTGGGATTAATCAATTCACTCTTTAACACTTCTTTACCATGAAGAAAATAAAAAGTAGAAAATTAGATAAAATAGTCACGAGTTGCTTACCAAATCCCTCCCAAGAATTAAGAACTGATAAACCAAAATGAGAAGATTATATATCACGTCTCCTTTTGATCTCTATTATAATCAATCGAAAGATTAAATTAAAAAAATACAGTTTTCAACACAACGTGATCATTGGTTTTCGATCACTTGCAAAGTCAGACCTAAAACCTAGCATTACACTAATATGTAACCTTAAATATTAATTATATCATGCAAACCCTAATGTTATTACCTAACTATACATGTGTAATGTGTTCAACAGATCTTCTAACCCACATTAGATGTAAATTAATAATATAAAAGAATAAAAGATTCTTCTTCTTCTAGTTCTTATTATTCCCATCCATATTTTTCTGTGCCTTAGGTTCTCAACTAATCTCATTTAATTTAGCACACAGAGAAACACACACGTATATAAATAATACGATAACACAAAAATGACTTACATATATAAATAATTAGGATCATTAAATTTGGATTCATCATTAAATGAAACAACTCTTCTTCTCTGTACAATTTCTCTCCTATATACTCTCTCTCTCACACCTTCACCAAATTCTTTGACTTCAGAAATCTTTAATATATCTCCAAAACCATAAAACCAAAACGAGTTTTCACAAATAAATTACTTAGTTGAAATTTCAAATCTCATTCAATTAGGATACACTCTCTCAACAATCTTCATTAATGAGGGTTGCTGCTTCTGATGGCTAGCAGTAACAGTTTTATTTCCTCCACTTCTTTTTCTTCTTAATGCCATCTTTTTCCTCTTCCTCTATATATATTTTCTGACTCTCGAAAACCTTAATTCATCCATCATCTCTCAAACACCAGTTTTGGAAACACCATTGCCAATTCCTTAAACTTCTCCATTTTTAGTATAATTTCATTCAATTGATATGGATGTATCCAACACGATGCTGCTTGTAGCTCTTGTTGCAGCTTACTGGCTATGGTTCCAGCGGATCTCACGATGGCTAAAGGGTCCACGTGTCTGGCCAGTGTTGGGTAGTCTTCCGGGTCTGATCGAGCAGCGTGACCGTATGCACGACTGGATCACTGAGAACCTCCGTGCGTGTGGCGGCACTTACCAGACATGTATCTGCGCCGTGCCTTTCTTGGCAAAGAAGCAAGGTCTCGTGACCGTCACGTGTGATCCCAAGAACATCGAGCACATGCTCAAGACCAGGTTCGACAACTACCCTAAAGGTCCTACGTGGCAAGCCGTGTTCCATGACTTCCTCGGCCAAGGCATTTTCAACTCCGACGGTGACACTTGGCTCTTCCAGCGTAAAACCGCCGCTCTTGAATTCACCACCAGGTACGTACTACCTTAACCGGACCGGGCATTCTTTCATGCATGTACAATTCATAATTTGGTTCAAAATACACCAATTGAACCAAATTGAATTTTCTTAGTTGAATTGTGTCTAATTCTTTGGTTCGGTTATGTAAATTGTTGCCTAAATTAAGGAATTGTCTTTTGTGATGCAGGACGTTGAGGCAAGCGATGGGTCGGTGGGTGAACCGGGGAATTAAGCTCCGGTTCTGTCCGATTCTCGAGACGGCTCAGAACAATTACGAGCCGGTTGATCTCCAAGACTTAATACTTCGGCTCACATTCGACAACATTTGCGGTTTAGCATTCGGTAAGGACACTCGAACCTGCGCACCCGGACTTCCCGAGAACGGTTTCGCCTCGGCTTTCGACCGAGCCACCGAAGCCTCTCTACAGCGGTTTATTCTGCCGGAGTTTCTATGGAGGCTGAAGAAATGGCTTGGGCTCGGCTTAGAAGTCAGCTTGAGCCGGAGCTTAGGAGAGATCGATGGGTATTTAGATGCTGTCATTAATACACGTAAGCAAGAATTGCTGAGTCAGCAAGAGAGCGGGGTCCAGCGACACGACGATCTCCTCTCTCGTTTCATGAAGAAGAAAGATCAGTCCTACAGCGAGACGTTCTTACGACACGTGGCTCTTAATTTTATCCTAGCTGGACGTGACACGTCATCTGTAGCGTTGAGCTGGTTTTTCTGGCTCATCACGACGCATCCGACGGTCGAGGATAAGATCGTCCGCGAGATATGCTCCGTTCTGATTGAGACACGTGGAACCAATGTATCGTCGTGGACGGCGGAGCCGTTGGAATTCGATGAGGTGGACCGGTTGGTTTACCTGAAGGCGGCGCTCTCTGAGACGCTGAGGCTTTACCCGTCGGTGCCGGAAGATTCGAAGCACGTCGTGAACGATGATATCTTGCCGGACGGAACTTTTGTACCGGCGGGATCGTCGGTGACTTACTCGATCTACGCGGCGGGGAGGATGAAGAGCACGTGGGGAGAGGATTGTCTGGAATTTAAGCCGGAGAGGTGGATTTCGCCGGACGATGGGAAATTCGTGAATCACGATCAGTATCGATTCGTGGCGTTTAACGCCGGACCAAGGATCTGTCTAGGAAAAGATCTAGCGTATCTGCAGATGAAGACGATCGCGGCGGCGGTTTTACTCCGGCACAGACTGACGGTGGCGCCGGGACACAAGGTGGAGCAGAAGATGTCGTTGACTTTGTTCATGAAGAATGGACTTCTGGTCAACGTGCACAAGAGGGATTTGGAAGTGATGATGAAGAGTCTCGTAACCAAAGAGAGAAACGACGTCGTTGTTCTTAACGGAAAATGCAACGGCGGTATCGGTGGTGAAGGCGTCGCCGTTAATGCGGCTGTGGCGGTTGCTGTGTAATGCGGCATTTCGGGTTGATGACATTTTTATACTAAGTAATTAATACATACATTTTCGTTTGGGTTTTGTGATTGTGGGGTAAAAGTAAAAAATTGATTTCGTTGTGCTATGTAAACTTGTAAGCAAATACTCTTCTTCCTAAAGTTAAAAAGTTTGATTGTTTTTCTTGTGGATTCTTCTCCATCCCCATCAAATTGTAAGCTTTAAAAGAGTCCCAAAAATATAATTTCAAAAATACATCTTTTTTTTTTAACATGTTACTTTATGAAACAGACCAGCGAACCATTTTTCACATTTGATCTCACTATCAGATCAAATTTACAGCAGTGAAAGAAAAATATAAAGCCTTCCTCACACAATTTCACTGCGGCTATTAGCTTCTTGGTTCGAGGTTGGGTCTAGTCGAGAATTTTCTCTCCGGTTGCGAACAAGTTCCAGACCAGAGTTCCAATTAGATACAGTGCAACTGCTACTTTGAACACATCATCCCATGAACCTAAATGTTTAGGTAAAAGAAAGAAACAACATGGTTAATAATAGTCAGGAAATATGTACCATAAACCAAGTACTATAATTTGTCCACCTTAATAAATGTGTGATTGGCAAGAATGTGAATAAAGATAGATACCTCGTTGGAGGATGTAACCAGTAGCTGCAGTGCCAAAGACACCAGCTAGGACTCCTGCTGTGTTTGATAGTCCTAAGAGTACACCCTGCGATCCAAGCCATAGTTAATGAAGCAAATCATTTTCAGTGTTGAATAAGTTTGGTGACAAAGTAATAAAAGAGAAAGAATTGATGTTATCTCACAGCGTATCGTGGGCCAATGTCTTGATGATTAGAGTAGAGACCCGACTGAGAGAATGCATCAGAGCCCTGTTGGGGACAACATGAGTCTTTATGTCAGAGCTGTACACACCTCATGAATTGTTCTAAGGGAGACAACTGTCTGCTTTTGTAGCCGACATTGCATTTAAGTTGTGTTCAATTATAGTTGTACTATTACAAGAATAATCTTGTGTCGGCAGGTGTGAAATAAAAAAAGGCAAACATGTTTTTAACAGTTCTAAACTTAATATGCATAATTCTAAGGCTCTTTCAATCATATGATATTTTGACAACAATACCTGACTGCATGCCATGCAGAGAACCGCCATTGCTGGAGTCTTGACATGGCTCAGCTGACTCAGGAAGAAGGCAGGACCTAGAAAACCAATTGATTGCATAATCTGCAACATTCAAGAGTTTATTAGCAGTAAGTATCCTTCGGAGTAGCCTTCATTTGATTCATGAGAATAGGTTTATTGTTATAAAGGTTTTGTTGTCACTCCTTTAACTGAAAGCAGCATAACAAGTTTGGCCTTCTGAGGTACTACAGACATGTAAATGATCAGAAAGTATAAGAGTGTATTTCTTGCCTTTCGAACGTTTGTAATTGAAAGACCTCTGCTCACTAGAGTATCAGCAATCCAACCTCCAATATTAGCGAAAACAGCCATGGTTAGCCATGGTAAGACGCATAGTAGCCCAGATTCAGTGAGGTTGAACTTCAAGACCTGCAACGTGATCAAAGACCAACAACAGACAAGATTCTCTTTACTGGTTCATAAGAATATTAAACCGTAAGGATATAAGTGAAGTTGAACTCCATGCCTGATTGTAATATGTGGGCATCCATGTCAATAGTATGAATGTTCCCCAATTATGGCAGAAGTGGGAAATGATGAGAGCCCAGACAGGGGGTTTAGACAGTATTAGCTTCCATGGAATCACTGTAACAGGTTCCCGTGGTTTGCTACCTCCCAGTATAACCTTTTTTTCTTCTTCACTTAGGCCCGGGTCATCCTTGGGAGAGCTATATGCCTGAGAAGAAACAAAAAAGTGTTTAAAATATAATTCTCTTGAAGGTTTTGTAGATCTAAGATATTTGGCTCATGTCATGAAGAGGAGTTCATACAAATTTTAGCCATAGCAAAAACCATATACTTCCAAGAGAGCCAAACGAATAGAAAACCGATGGCCATCCGAACTTGTGGATCAGCATAGGAGAGAATGCCAATCCTGTAACAGAACCAAGATACATGCCACTATAGACTAGTGCAAGCGATCTGCTTCTCTCTGAGACAGGGATCCATTTAGAAAGCATGTTGTTCATAGCAGGCATTGCAACACCCTGGAGAAAAAAGGTAGACAGAACCAGCTAGTGAGAAGTTGTGCAGGTCTGAGACAAGTGTAGGAAGAGAAAGGCAATACAGAAGAGGCCAACCTCGCCAATGCCCATGAACGCTCGCACGACAAGCAAAAAAGGGAGACCAAGTCTAGCAGCAATAGGTGTCATAATGGTGGCAAAGGACCACCAGACAACACCAAAACCTAAAACCACCTTCCCGCCAAACTTATCTGCCCATATACCTCCCAGAATCTATAATTCAAGAGAAGATGAGCACGGTTTAGGCTAAAGTTATAATAAAGTTACCCTCTCTTTTGAGTTCTATACAAGATCACATTGTACAGAGAGTGATAGTATTAGAGCTGACCTGAGTAAGTAAATAGCCCCAGAAGAAAGAGGACTGAATTAAGCCAACTGTTGCACTACTCCAGTTATATTCTTGTGACATGGGAAGAATTGCAATGCTCATGTTCACCTGCCACAAGCATCTTTCATAAAGTAAAGAAAAATAGATATGTATCCTTCAAATTAGTACAGAAAATAAGCAGCATATACTACTTACACGGTCCATATTGCAAAGAAGAAATGAGGCAAAGCATAACAAGACGATCACCCAGCGTCTAGGAAACTGCTGCCACCATGGAGATGCGTTCTGTAGATTCCCTTCAACTAAAATAGCTTCAGCTGAGCCATCAGCCGATGGCACAACTCCTTCAGTGATATCGGAGTCCTCTGATTTGTAGTAAGCACGAGATCTGTTGATCTTGCTTATTCCACATTCCTTGAAACTGTTCCTAAACCTAATCGTAGAGTCCATTCTTGGTTGAAGGAAACATCCAAGACTTGTCCTGTGTCTCAATTCATTCTGTAAACTAGCTTGCAGAGGTTGATGATTACGGCACAACAATGCTACAAAAATTAAGAAAACGCTAAGGCATAAATTGCATAATAAAGCCAAGTAGAGGTATGTATAAAAGATAGGGGTAATACCATTTGGAAAAAGCATAACTCTGTTGGAAACCTCTGAACGACTTTTTCCAAGTCTCTGACAACCATTGCCTATAAAGTAAATGGCAATCTTAGCAAATTTGATACCAAAAAAGGAAGAGAATTCATTGTGAATTTTGCATAACACAGAATTATAGTAATATATGGAGAATCAGGTGTAGTGAAATTCTACAGTCTTGTAGTAGAGAGAAATTGAGTAGAACCAAAAGCAATGCACATCGATACACAGAAACTAGCTACGCTCAAGCCTAGTCACTAACATAATCCGATAAACCCTAATCTGAAGCAAAGATGGATACCTGAACCGATGAAGGAACCCAAGTTCCGGTTAGAAATCAAGCCACCGAGGGCCATCTCGAAAAAGGGAAAGGGAAGAAGAAGAGAGAAGGATTCAAGCTTCTTCCATAAAAGCGGAGAAAACGAAGGTTTTGAAATAAAAAAGCTTCGGAGAAGAGAGGATAAAGCCGAGAGAGGGACTGAGAGACGCTGAAGCGGGAAAATCCCTCTCTATTGGTCATCATATTGGGGAAGCAAGGAAGAGGAAAGGGGGGTCGATATAGTGACACGTGGCTCATCATCTTCTACTCGTTGGAACCTCCGTTCCGCTCCAAACTACGAATCTACCCCCCATGTTGGCAAAGGTAAAACTTGGGTTTATTGGTTAATCCTAGGGGTATTTCTGGAAGTTTGCTTGGAAAATATCTGAGCCGTTACCGCCGAGATGACATCACCTTTAGAGAGAGAGAGAGAGAGAGCAGACAAAAGAAAAACGCAGGTAGGGCACTATTGGGCTTTTAATGGGCTTAAAATCCCATTTGTATTTTGATGGGCTTAACAATAAAATTGTCTTCTAGTTTACATTCTCTATTAGGATTTATACAATTTTTTGAATTAAAACTATATAATTTAAACTTTTGGTGTTTTTAGATTTAATCAGTAGAACATGGTAATTTAGTAACTTTGTTTTTCAATTATTTATATACCTAAGATCTTAATTTTTTTCTATCATAAATGCATACAACAATATATTGATACAATAATATGTAATTATGTTACTTAGGTAGTTTGAAACTGATGTAGCATCTATTCACATGTTTACCTTGAGTTTTACGTTATTAGTTTTTAATAAAAAATAATTTCATAAAATAAGAAGCGTAAAATGAAAGTAATGTTTAATAAATTAACATAATTATGTACTTTTTTTTAATTTTGAATAAATCAATTAAGAGTTGGATTGATGGATGGTTCAATGCAATATAAGAATTTTGATATTTAATCACTTAATTTTTGGTGAGTTTTCTATTTAAATAATGTAGAATGATAAATGTCATTTTCTTGTGTGATGATGTATCACTCATATGAAGAGAGTTAACCAACTTTCATATATATGATTAAATTTAGTTTAACTTTTATTGTTTTTACCTAAACATGTAGTTGCTCTAAAGCATATTGCATCTACAATGCTCCTAATGAGACAACAATTCAATATCTTCATGATATACATTCTCATGAATTCACCATCAACATCATCATGTACTAAGTATGTAGAAAATAATATTATTACGGCAAAACAATAGATTCCTTGATTCCTACTCAATTTAAAACTTTTTTACAAAATGTCCATGTAGTACCCAAAGTGTATGACATCAAGCTCCAAATTATACTTCTTTTTCATCTTCACCACCACCTCTAGAGCGTCTTCTTTTTTGGTGTCGACGGCATGAACGTGAGCATAGAGTAGAGCTTGGAATGAGCGAAGTATGAGCTTGATATATGTTTTTTTCATCTCGCCAAAAACAACAATGACATTGCTTTGATTGTAAGTAGCGTATGCCAAAATCAAATTCCTCCTTGCAGCATAGCCTGGACATTTAAGCCTTGAGAAGATCTGACATGCAAGGTCAGGGCGGCGGACAACTCGGTTGTATAAACTCATCACCATATCGGCGTGTAGGCAAGTGCTGATGATCAAGCACATGTGAATATAGCCCTTGCACCACCTTTATTCCATCAATGGCAGAAGCGTAATCAAAACACCAATGGTACATCATCATCAGCGTAATCAAAACATCAATGGTACATCATCATCAATTGCTTTTACAAGCAACAAAAATTTAGTTGTTAATCTCATATTATCTTTTACTATGAAACTCTGCAACGAAAGTATAATGTGTAGATGGTGTAAATTACGCAGATAATCATCACTCAGTTAAATTTCTATCAAAATAATCAATTCTTTTAGTCTCATATTTATTACTTTGATTTCCTCACTCTAATTACAGTAAAACGTCTATAAATTAATAATATCGGGACCAAAAAATTCTATTAATTTATAGAGGTATTAATTTATAGAAAGATTTACTAATTTTGTAATTTCTTAAAAACATTATATCTCAAAAGAAATTTTTTTCTTTATAATCAATATCTTTCTAAAACAAATTACAAGTAGAAAAGCAATTATTAAGTTTAGAAAATAACATAAATTTTTTCGATGTAGTAAAAATATTAGAATTAAACTCTACTAAGAATTAATTTAATTTTTTAAAAAAACAAACAATACTAAAATCATATTTGACATATATGTAATATTGTAAAATATATATATATATATATATATATATATATAGATAAGTTTATATAATTATGAATTTATGATATTGATGAGACCATATATTTACATAAAGATTTTTTTAAAAAAAAATTATCGATTTGTGTCATTTTTTACATCGGTCCAAACTCGAGACCGAAATAATTTGTTAATTTATAGAGATTATTAATTTATAGAAGGTTATTGTAGCTTAATCATAGCCTCTGAACTAGTATATATAATAACCTAACATAAATCAAGAGATGATTGAGAAGATTATTCTGATATGATGATGATTGAGAGAATCACGTTAATTGCCTGATTTACTCATTGACATAATTTAAATTACCTCTTGCGAATATGCACTTAGTAGGTGGTGAAAATTTAATGATGCCCTTCTTGCAAAACTAGCCTGGCGAATTATTCGACACCCAAACACTCTTTTTGCTCGTCTAATGAAAGCTCGTTATTTTAAAGATGAATCGATATTGAATGCGAAACCAAGGCAAAGACAATCATATGGATGGTCATCCATTTTGCATGGATTGGACATTATTAAGAAGGGAACACGGTTTCAAGTTGGTGACGGTAACTCAATCAATGTAATGAAAGATAATATCGTTCCCGATCACCCACCACGGCCTCTATCATTGGTATCTCCCAATCCAGATTTATACATCAGCGATTTGATTACGCATATGGGAGACTACCGTTACTGGAATCCAAACAAGTTAGATCATATAGTCGCCGCTGATCATGCTGTTCTTCATCAAACTCACCTTCCCAGGGTGATTTCTCCGGACAAACTCATTTGGCATTATGATAAAACAGGTGAATACACAGTACGTTCTGGTTATTGGTTTGCTACTCATGATCCGACGCAAGAAGTCTTAAGGCTGCCTCCTCCCCACGGCTCTTTACCTTTGAAAAAAGCCATATGGAAATTACCCATTATACCAAAAATTAAACATTTCCTCTGGCGTATTTTAACACGAGCTATAGGTACAATGACCCGGTTAAACTCTAGAGGAATGAAGTTAGATCCAACATGTCAACGATGCGGACAAGCGGAAGAAACAATCAACCATTGCCTTTTTACTTGTCCTTTTGCCATTCTAGCATGGAGACTCTCACATATACCTATCCTACAAGCACAGTTATCCTCTGAGAATGTTGAAGATAATTTATCTTGTTTGATGGATTTGCAACGTACCATAGGTATCTCCAAAACAAATAAATTTTTACCCTTTTGGTTACTTTGGCAAATTTGGAAATCACGGAACAATTTAGTATTCAACAAAGTTAGACTCAGCCCTTCAAAAGTAGCATTACAAGCGACAACGGATGTACATGAATGGCTTGAAGTTTTTGAAAAGCAGGAACATAGCGATTCCGATAACGTTACGTCCGCAAACAGAGTATATTCTTGGTCACGGCCACCGGAAACCTTCCATAAATGCAATTTTGATGCAAAGTTTGATATCGTTACCAAACAAACAACCGCGGGTTGGATTATTCGAGATCATGCAGGTATATCTAGGGCTTGGGGTTCTTCACGACTAAATAGCACGGGATCACCACTCGAAGCAGAAGCGCAAGCTCTCCTTTCTTCCATGCAGCAATCCTGGATTCGGGGTTTCACAAAGATTATTTTCGAGGGAGATTGCAAGGTTTTAATTGATAATATTAATGGTGTTTCACGGGACGCATCTATTGCAGGCATTCTTCATGATCTTTGGTTCTGGGCTTCAAAGTTCAAAGAGAAACAGTTTAGCTATGTAAATCGTAATTGTAATCAAGTAGCTCATAACCTAGCCCAATTTGGATGTATTGCTGTATGCTTTTATTCTGATAATCATGATCCTCCTTCATGGATTGTGGAAACTCTGTATAATGACATTTCGTATTAATATATTTTCATTTTGACGAAAAAAAAAAAAAGTAGGTGGTGAAAAACAACATATGCAAATTGTAACCTTAGACGGCTGAGCAACTTTGACGTACAGAACCATCAACGTCGTGATCGTGGGCTCGTGGTGTTCATTTCATAGAGTAGTATTGATTCAAACTTTTAGCATCTCATAGAGTAGCTAACACTTTTTTCAAACTTCTACCTCTTATTATTGGTCTACGGGCTGTGTTTTCTTTTGGAAACAGTCACAAAATTTCGAAGTAAAGTTATTTACGAAAGTTTGAATGCATATATAATGAGAATGCATTATATATGGTGTTGGCTTCACTAAGGGTCCTCTGTTTTTCTATTTTTGAGAATGCATTTTATTGGCCTTTGTTTTTTACTCTCTTTTTTTTGGCAAAGTTCAATTGCTTTAGGTCTTATATCATGTAACACCTAACTTTCATTATAGTATATGATATTTACAAGTTTAGCAAAAAAAATAAAAAAAAATATATATATATATATATAATGAGATCATGAGCTACACAGTTTTATTTAAAAGAAACATAAATTTAAGTTTAAGAAAAGGAAAAGGAAAAAAAATTAGGCATATATAACAACTCTTGTGACTATAATTAAGCTCTTAAGAGTAAAACAAGGTCATTATATCCCTTATATATTAATTGAGAAGCATTTTAAAAAAATAACCTTATCTTCATGTGTGATTAACAAAAATGTCATGCTTACGTGTCATTCTCACAAAGTTTCTCAATCCATTTAATTAAAAACCCAACATTTATTTAGATATTTACAGATTTTGCCATTAGTTTTACTTATATTTATTTTTTCCACTTAATTTATATTTTTTATATTACTAATTAATTAAAACAAAAAGAACAATTAAAATATGTAATTAAGATATATAAATCTATACAAAATGGAGTACCTAATATTTTGTATATTAATTAATATACCAAGATATTTACCATAAATTATGATAAACATAAACATTAATATATAAATGAAAATTTCACTAATCTTGATAATCATTAATACACCACCGTTTATCTAATAATATAAAAACTAGATCATGACCCGTGCTATACAGCACGGGATTTAATATTTTTCATGAATTAAATTGTATATTTTGTTCAAAGAAATAAGAAATAATATAGTATAATAGTATAATATAAAAGGGAATATATCATAATATTTTATATTTATTACTATTTGGATCTAATGTTATATATTTTATTTGACTAAAGAAGGAGAGAATATTATATTTTAGAATTTAATATATTTAGCAGCATTAGATTTGTATTTTTTATATGAGATTAACAATTTCTTTGGTTCAATTAGGTATTGATAATTTCTCTTACCCAAAAAAAATTAGGTATTGATAATTTTATTGTGTGATTGTGAACAAACAAAAAAATAGTTGTATTGGGTCTAAGTATTTTAATGGATTATATTGGGTTTGGGGGGTCCAGTTTCATGGTTTAAAAAAAATAAAAAAAAAAACGGTTTAACATACCTTTGGAATTTGCTGATGTGTTCCTTTTTTATGTCTACTTGAATTTTGTTACCGTGTAATTAAAATAAGATGACTTAAAACTTACGGCACATATATTACAAAGAAAAGTGTATAAAATTTCAATGGTACTTACAGCCTCATCTGTCAAAATCATTTCCAAAGTTATGCCAGAACCTTTTGTAAAATGAATCCACGAATGAAGTGTACTAACTTGAATACACCAAAAAGTCTTGACAGACTTCAAGTTATAAATAGGAGTGTAGCGACTAACGATAGCCATTTCTGCTGTATTTTTAATTGTAGGATATGAGAATGGTGCTGAGATGATTTCTGTGAGAAAGGTACGTCAAACCTAAATGGATATTTATAGTTGTAGATTGTTTGTGATAATTAGGAGATTCATAAATATATTAATTAGCATAAAATATTTAGATAATATTTTAGAAAGGTATATTCTAGATTATTTGGAATATAGGATCAAAATTATATAACAGAGAGATTTGACAATCTTTAGAAAAGATTTTAAAAAAACTGAATAGCTAATTATATTGATGCGTGATTAAGCTAAACAAAAAACGTAAAACTAAACAAAAAAACGATCTAGAATATAACAACTATTATAACTTATTTTTTTTTTATAAAGGGTTTTAACAAAATCTTTTAATATCTTTAAACCCGTTTGACCTGTTGACCCGTTTATATATATTAGTGAAATGGAATAAAATGATTATAATTAGAGATCTAATGGCATATATTGTAATTTCTTACAAAATCTAAGTTATGACTCTTAGGATGTACTTCCCAAATATTAGTATAGGATCGAACACTTTCAATATCATCAATACATTAAAATTGGTTAGTAATGGTTTTGTCCCGCACATAGTGCAGGTTCTTATCTAGTTAAATTTTAAGAAGAAAAATCGTGGAAACCTTAATGTCGTATAATACAATTTTACACATATATACATAATTACATATCGTGAACAGACATATTTCATTTTTTTCCTAGTCAGTGGCTATTTGATAAAGCCACGAAAAATTCTTGACCAGTTTTGTGGCCTCTATATTGCTTATATAGTATAAAACTATAAATCATTCACAATTCCACCGGATCATAGGGTTTATTCAAACATGTCTTAATCGCCATGTATTTAATTTTGCGTGATTTAATTGTCGGAAAGCCGCATTATCCAAAATTTACTTCCTCCAATAAAATTTTGCTCTTTAAATATAAAGTTCTTATTATCCCTTATACACATGCGTATAGAAATGTGATCACAAAATAGTTTTTCGGGAAAAAAATAGAATTAACATAACAATAACGTACCAATACATTATCAATTAAAACGTTTACTTTTTCCACCAATATACCATAACGATGACAACAGCTCCAGCAATTACACACATGAAAATTCTTATATGACCTAACCTTACTTCCAATTAGTCAATGGCAAGTAACAAAAATCCTTGTTTGGATTTTCACTTCTTGGTGTTGTTGATAGACTCCACCTTGCCGTCATTACCTCCAAGCAAAAGATATTTATCCTTGCGAGTAAGTTCGGTGCACTCGAAGCCCAAGACCGCGCCGATAACTTTCTGGACGTAATTGGCCACCTCTATAGGAGTCTTGCCGCCACCGTTGACAGTCATTTCTTCAGGCAAACGATCCAAGAAAGTGGCTTCATAGCTTGGTCTTGGGTTCATGAAAAAGAAGTAAGGGTCCCAGAACTTCACACCCCTCACTGTGGTCCCGTTGAACATTCCTTGTTTACAGTTCATCGCTACTGGCACGATCCGGTCACTTAGCTCTGCGAATAGAGCGCTAAATCTCAGTAGATACTCTTCTCTGCACGTTGTGCCTTCCGGACATATCACCAAGTCGCCTGTTATACACCAAAACATATCAAAAGCTCAATTACTCTATTGATTTTTAATTTCTCAACTAGAGATTAATGTGAATGTAAGACAATATTCAAAAGAAGTAGACAATATTATTTTACTTAAAAAGTTTATTTAACTTGTATCCGGGTTATATATATATATATATCAAACCTATGAGATCCAAACAAACCATCTAAATTTGGTTTGAAGATGGGTTAAATAGATACCTTTCTCGAGAAGTTTTCTCATGTTGGCAGCATCGGTGACACGGTCACGGGTGAGGGCAACAGCAGGAATAGGAGAAAGCATAAGGGAGAGACGAGAGACACTGTAAGTAACACAACAGATCTTGCGTCCAAGAGCAATGGCAACGATGATGGGATCAAGCGCGGTACGGTGGTTAAGGACATAGAGGTTGCCAAGAGTTCCGGGGGAAGGAGGTGGAGGACGATGGCCACGAATGGTTAAGTGGATCCCGAGCATCTCGTAAGTGTAACGGACAAAGCGTTCAGGTAAAGGGAGGTTGAAGTAGACGCGAATGATGGAGAGGACAAAACCAAAAGGAAGCCAGAGGTATGTGATAATGGCGTTTAAGGGCGTTGGACGTTGCGCTAAACGCCCGTCGTGGAAGACTATACGGTTCTTTAATCGTTCTTTTGGAATTGTTGTGGCTGACTTGCTCGCATGAACCATGTAGCCTTTCTGTTATAATACCAAAAACGTTAATTCATTTCAGACGTATAATTGAAAGTACTAGTAGAATATAACGTCTCTAGCTAAATTGTGTAATCAAGATTTAAACTAAGCATTAAACAAAAGAAGATTGTTTATAATATTTGAAGTACATGTGTTTCATTAAATGGACAGCCCAAGACGTTGGTGGTAGTGTGGTACTGGTAAGGTGGTTGGGGGTAGAAAAACAATCGAGAGGGTCCCGTGAAGTGATTGGTTGGGTACATTTATGAACCTTACCAAAATTACTTCAAAATCAACAAATTTTTGATTATTTTTATAAGCTTCACGCGTAGTAGACATAATGACACTAAACCAGTCAACAAGTTAAATTAGATTGTCTAGCTTAATTAATGAAAAATACACGACAAGATCTTTTTTAGAAAAAGTAATCACGAATCAGAGCAAAGACTTCCACAAGAAAATCAAACGTTTGCTTAGATTCTCAAGTTACCTTCAAAACTTATCTTACACTAATCTAATCAACACTCAATAATTTAATATTTTCTAGCCTTAACCAAGAACTTTAATTTTACCTTATAATCGATCATTAAAGATTTGATTAAAAGATTGAAACAGTACCTTGCAGAGAGACATGAAATCGTGATCAGAGGTTCGATCACCGAGGCCGAGATCGGGTGATTTGTCACCAAACTCTTTCAAAATGGCTAACCTCTTAAGATCACCAACAATAACACCAGGCTTCTTCACAAATCCAGTGGCTCTATTGGATTTGGGGTTGACTTCAATCTCTGTTCCCAAAACTTTATCACCTCCAAGATAATCCTTCACAAACGCCTCCACCATCACTATCGGATTAGCCGTCACTACCACTTTCCTCTTACACTTATCAAACACCTCAAAACTGTCTTTCCTCACATCCGCCGCATAAAACCTAAACATATATCATCGGATAAATTATATGATCTACTTAATCGATGTTAGATCTGTGGATATGGAGGTCGTACCGTGGAAGAACTGCGCGAGAGACGAGTTCGATATCGCGGATTTTGAGACCAGCCAAGGAGATGAAGATGAGTATCTGGATTCCAAGAGATTCGGATACGAATAGGTAAGAAACAATGACGAATGGTAACGAGAGAAGAAGGATTAGTCCACGGAAAAGGCTTCCAGCTTCAACGGCGACGAGCATGAAGTAAGGGAACGAACTTCTTGAGAGAAGCAGAGTCCCGTCAAGATCGGCGGCTATCGAATCGTACTCTCCGTCTCTGCATTCCGTTATCGGAGGAAAGTTTCGAGTCTTCTTCTCGGGAGACATTATAACTCGCCAAGTCTCTCTCTCTCTCGTTAATGGCGGCTCTAAAGAACAGAGAGCACAAAATAATGTGGAAGGAAAGAGAGGGAACGGTTCTGTTTTAAATGCAACATTATGTAACGAAATTACCAAAATGGGTTTATACATTTTTCACCACAGTACCACACTAAAGTGAGATTTCATCTTTAATTAATTAATTTATCCTTAAACTATCTTTTGTAACAAAAACAACCCTCATTCTCCCTTGCCCTATAAATGGGTTCTGTTTTGACAATGTTGGCATAGATGAGAAATATAAAAGCGGTCACATTTAACCAAAGGTAGCTCAGCCGCTCACCTATATTGAAGGCCGTAATATTAATTCAGTGGGTTATATCTATAATCTTACTATATCTATATCTATGTGTATGATGTCGTTAACTATGACATATCCACAAAGAACGTAAAGTCTAGGGCCACATGTCGAATTCATTATATGAAAATGATTTCATCCGATATGCAATCTATTATCTATATATGTATGTGGCGATATTGTTGACTCAGTCAAATTGTCTCTAATCTTTTTAGACTACTTTGTCATAGATTTAGGTTTAATTAATTATTTAGTTGAAGTGAACTTGTTAGAAAACATTTAGAATTAATGTAGCTTAGATTCAAATATCATTAATTAATCACAACAATAACAAAAAGTCGGGAAAACGGCCAATTCCCCCCAAACTTAGTTACTTTATCGGATTCATACACATAACTTTGAGTTGTGCTTATAACTACGTGAACTTAACTAAATTTTGAATTTCCTACACGAACATTCCAAATCCGGTCAAAACCATCAAATCGACAAACGGTGTTAGTATTCCGTTAACTGATGCTGACTAGGATGCCACGTAAGCGTTTCATTTAAATTATTAAAAAAATCCATGGGACGAGATTTGAACCCAGGACCCTTGCTAAGGGCTAGGCTCAATACCAGTTATGCTATCACAATTTTCATTGTACATGTAACAGACGCAGATATATATATAACGCATACAGATCTCAAAAACTAATTCAATTTTACTCAACTCATATTATCCATCCAATTCATCGTTTCCGAATCAATTTAATGTAAAATTGATCGTAAAAAACGAAAAGAAAAAAACAAAGTAATATTAGCAAACGAACCAAATTAATTTAACAAACCCTAAAAAAGAAAAAGAAGTAAAGAAATATCATCTTGTTCTTCGGCGACTCAATTAATAACTTGAAAGTAAACATAGAATTTACCCACAAAATTAGATGAGAAAGCCCAGAAAATAGAGATTGCGGCGGAATTGATTAAGGAGTTGATGATGGTTTGAGAACAAATTGGTGAAGGAGTCTAAGAGACAAATTAGGTGAATTTCAGAAATCTAATTCAAAATTATGAAGGAGATTGTTTTCAAATTCAAAATCATCATTCGTTGGAGAGATGAATCTTCTATATGACAGAAGAAGAATGAAACAATGCTTAAATTGAACGTAGGTGAATGGAAGACAGAAGACAAATTGACCTTTTTTGTTTGGGTATATATATATATATATATATATATATATATATATATATATATATGTTATAATGTTCGACGAAAATTGTGTTAGCATAAATGGTTATGAGCTTACTAATCCTTAGCAAAGGTCATGGGTTCAAATCCCGTCCCATGGATATTTTTTATAATTTAAATGTAACGACGCTTACGTGGCATCCTAGTCAGCATCAGTTAACGGAATACTTAACACCGTTTGTCGATTTGATGGTTTTGACTGGATTTGAAATGTTCGTGTAGGAAATTCAAAATTTAGTTAAGTTCACGTAGTTATAAGCACAACTCAAAGTTATGTGTATGAATCCGATAAAGTAACTAAGTTTGGGGGGGAATTGGCCGTTTTCCCACAAAAAGTCCTCGTTGAGATAGATGTTGTTCTCACTTGAGCTTAATCTGTTTATCCGACCGTTGGGAGTTGCACCGCCTTGAGCCGCACATTTATGCTCATTACACATATTTACGAAAAACCACATGAATGTGTGTGACCAGAGTGTATATTTCTACCGTTATACGTATATGAGATATATATAGTACGAAGTCCAAATACTCCCACGAGCCTATCCAATTCATAATGAGCAATTTTATTTCATGTGGAATAATGGGGACAAGCCATGTAATAACCAATAAGATATGGCGTATTTTCTTAAAATCGTAGTTGTATACCGAACCCAAACGGATCAATTTGAAATGGCTTTTGAGCAGTCCGGTGGGTAATCCACTTTGGTAACTTCTTTTACCTTTTTATGAAGTAGTTTGTTTATCCACACACATGTAAAACATCTCCGAAGAGTTGCTATTTTCGGTAAAAAAGCATTTCGTGTCAATATTGATATTATGAGATTAGACTAGTATAATCGTATAAATGTTAAATCTTCAATGCATCGCAATGCTTTATTCAAAAAACCTATTCGAATCATAAAGAAGTTACACAAAAAGGCTTGTTGAGCCAGTATTAGAAGATCCTTAACAGGCCTCCTTATCGCTCAAAGATGGGCCGAAATTCACAAGTCTTAAATGAACCCATATGAGAGACCATATTAACGTAACCGTGGCCTAGTCGATATTAGGAAAACAGTAACCCAGAGGATTTAACACAATTAAACAACATAATCATGGTTTTTACATAGACAGATTAGAAATCCCAAAATATATATTCTTGAAAGGCTCCATACATTGCAAAACACAAAAGCTAGAGTAGATAGATAAGCAAAGAAATTACTAAAGAACAGATCCTGGACCGTGGAATCTTGGTTCTAACTCTTGCTCTTGAAAGGAATGGCTCTGATGACAATCTGGTGATAGAGTGCTGCTAGAGCTGCTCCAATGAATGGTCCAACCCAGAAAATCCACTGCAACCACAATTTTCAAATTCAAATTATTAGAATACATCAAATACGTTTTGAGTGGTCCTTTTCGTTTGTGTTATTCAAGAGTGTTACTCACATGGTCGTCCCAAGAGTGGTCCTTGTTGTAGATAATTGCGGCTCCAAGACTTCTAGCTGGGTTGATTCCGGTCCCGGTGATCGGAATTGTTGCCAAGTGTACCAAGAACACTGCAAATCCGATTGGGAGTGGCGCCAAAATCTATAAGAAAAATTACCAATTATCACAACCGGAACTAATTGCCTCATAAGCTACTTATTAAACCAATAAAACCGGTCGCTTAGTAGGCTAGACAGTTATAAACCGGTACCACTCTAATTAACCCTATAAAATCAGTAAACCGGAATTAAGAGAGATCCATACCGGGACGTGTGAGTCACGGGCGCTTCTCTTGGCGTCGGTGGCGGAGAAGACGGTGTAGACGAGAACAAAGGTTCCGATGATTTCAGCACCGAGTCCAGAACCCTTGGTGTAGCCGTGAGCGACGGTGTTAGCACCGCCACCGAGAGTCTGGTACGGCGTTGGCTGGAAACCCTTGACGACTCCAGCACCACATATGGCTCCGAGACATTGCATAATCATGTAGAACACAGCTCTGGTCAGAGACAACTTCCGAGCCAAGAACAGACCGAATGTTACTGCAGGGTTGATGTGTCCACCTGAAACACATATACACAAACCTATGTTACAGAAAGATACGAGCTTTATCTGAGAAACCTACAGTAAAATTGGAGTAACGGACAGATCTAGATAAGCCCAAGCATCAAAAGAACCCAAAGTTTGCAACTTTTCTAGGTCAAACAAAGTATTAACCCAGAACAAAAACAGAGGACTCACGTGATGTTCTTCAGAAATTACAAACAAACCTAACAAATTGGAATAACGAAGAGATCTTCTAGAACTTCAAACATAAAAAGTCGAAGTTCCCTACTTTCTTTCCTTCACACTTTCTCAGTAAACAAAACAGAGTAAATAATGCAAAACAGAAACAGAGAACTCACAGAAAACAGAGCTTACAATAAACTGGGAAATTGGAGGGAAGATTACCTGAAATTCCAGCAGTACAGTAGACCAGAGCAAAGATCATGCCACCAAAAGCCCAAGCGATACCTTGGATTCCAACAGAAGCACACATGTTTGGTGCTCTCTTCACTCCCATTACAGTCAAAACAGTGATGTAAAGGAACAGGAAAGTAGCAATGAACTCAGCAATTCCGGCTCTGTAGAACGACCATGAGCTCAGCTCGCCGGGCTCGAACAGTGGCGCAGGAGGTGGCTCTTTGTAGTCCTTGTCAGTGGACTGAGCCGATGTACCGATGGGTTGCCTCTCCGGGAACTTGTTAGCTCCAACTCGAACATCTTCTTCTTTGCCTTCCATTTCACTCTCGACCCTCTCTTTTTTTTTTTAGGGTTTTTCTCTCTCCAGAAAGGTTAAAGTTTTGAGCTTTTTCTTTCTCGTGTGTAGCTAGTGTGTGGTCGAGACTTCATTTATAGAGAGGACCAAAAGACTATAAAATTTGCCTAACGTCTCCAAACTTTTATCTTTAATTATTGCTAAGAGAAAAACACAAAATAAAATAGTATATAACGTACAGTTTATTTATTTGTCAACTAGTATAACGAATAGTTAACACCTAATTAATAGAAATCATTTGGTTTTCAAAACTTTACTAGTTACAAATTTTTTTTTCTTTATGTTAACGGATTGAACTAGTCTATTAACGATTTTGTCCACTAGTTATTATTCATGATGGTGAATGTTGAATAATTATGTTAATGAATAGTTTGATAAATTGTACTAAGGGTTACTATTAAATAAAAGATAATGATGGAGGAGACTGGTGAGGGTTCTGGAACGTACCGATGTGTTCTCGTATAAGGACAAAAATCTGACGTGTTTTTTCTTTTCCTCTTGCCACAAAAGATTGTGGGTCCACTTTCTGGACGGTAAACAAAAATCGATAAATTTGTAAGAGCCCAATAAAGCCCAATAGTAAAATAGTAAAAGACTGACTCTTCAACGAAACAATTATCTGACCGTTGGAGAAAAAATTGACAGCTTTATCTTTATGTAAAGTCATTTTCGTTGGGACTATAGTG